TTCGCGATTGAGATCTTTTTCAATATTTAGCTTCGATCTTTGCTTCAAAAATTGGTAATTATGCACAATTTTGATTCAAAAAGCTTCTATAAAATCTGGCGTCTTACTGTTAATCATTTGAGAAGAAAAAAATACGAAAACCATTTAAGATCATCTATATATAATTAAATATGATAATACATAAAATTAATGTATGCGATTCTGAATATTGTATGAGAGTATTTCTATTAAGACATATGTGAACACCCGTGATTTTTGTTTTAGTTCTCAATCAATATTTACGTAAAATCTCTTAAGAAATTTAGATTTTGGATCCGTACCTTTCGCGGTTTATTTTTTATTTTAGTTCAAAAATTTTCAATTATGGATTTTAATCTGTTTAGAGAATGGGTGACAATTGTTTTTAATCTCATCTCATATTTTATTTACTTATTATCTATGAGATCGGAAATAATATTTTTTGTAGACATACATATATATATATATATAGATGTAAAAGTTTGAGAGGCATTCAATTTTATTTTTACTATATAGTTTACTAAATTTAAACTCGTCATGAGAGTAGAAATTTACTTTTTGTTTATTATCCTTTTAATATTTTATATTTTATATGAAAAATATATTTATGTAATGTTTGAGATATTTTGATAATTTTAAATTTAGATTATATATCTGTTCATTGCACCAAAAGCCACATTCTACTAACCCGTATATGACCATTTTGTATATAAAAATTTATTTGTGTAATGTCAGATTATATAAAAACGAATAATGGTTGAATATTTAAGGTTTAATAGCAAATCTATAGAGAGAATTATGATTATGAAGCTTGGCTAGTAGTTATTGTTTTTTTTTTCTTCTTCAAATTAGATGGACATATATTCTGAATTTCTTATATGTGCCAAATATTAGTAAAATTCCACTAAATTCTTAACCCCCTATGATGGTAAGAAGCAATTTTTTCTTTTTATCGTTTATATTTTTATATTTTATATGAAAATATGTATTTATGTATAATTTAGATGTTTTAGTAATTCTAAATTTAAATTCTAACCGCTCTTGCTCCAAAAAAATGTAACTGTTTGTGACAGTAATTTTTGTTTTGGATAGAAAAATATATTTGCGTAAGATCAAAATATGAAAACCCGAATAAATGGTTGGACAATAAAATTTTAGAAACATATTTATATACGATTATCAAGCTTTGCCGATATTGATAGATTTTAATTTTCAAATTAGTTGGATATATTATCTAGTTTTTCGCTATTGAGCCATATATTAGTTTAATTCTCATTTTATTGATTATGACTTTAAATATATTATTTCGTAAGTTTTTTATAATTTAAAAATGTCTAACAAATGCTAATATTTGCATACTAATAATTAGTTTTATAAAGTTCAAAAAAAAATAGTTTTATATATATATTTACACCAAAATAAAATTGTATACCTATTTCTACCCCAATTTTGTAATTTCAGTTACTATTAAAAACCCGCCCATAAATCAGATTTTAAAAATCAACTAAATCAGATCATAAATCGAATTAAATCCAATTTTAACCAAATCCAATCCATAAACATACCACCAATCAAACGATCCTACCCACTTTCCTTCTTCTTTTTTATCCGTAATTCAATTGTACACACCTCAATCAAATTTTCCAATTCCACTCAACTATGATTCTCTTCAAAAAAAAAAAAATTCTAAAGACGTGTCCCATTAAATCAGAAACGAACAAATCTTCATTCTGGATTGTGTTTAACAGCTTCGATGACAATTCTTTCGAGATAGACGAAACAGCCTGAACATGACGTTTCAAAACATCACCAGAGAGATCCTCGCCAAAAAGATCTTCGTCGAACAATAATTCCACAATTTAGCCTCCCTAAAATCTACGTCCAACAATTCTACAGTCTGGTTTGATAGAATAAATATTGGAGTTTAGATCCTTTATGTCGGAATGCGACTTGTATGACTTAAGGTTCTCTGGAAATTTCCTATCCTGGAGGGGAAACAGACACAATCACCGTGTCAGATGCAGACTGGATAGAGCAATGGCAAATAGCGCCTGGTTTGAAAGCTACCCTTCATGGAGAAGTGAATACCTGAGATTCGAAGGTTCGGATCATAGACCACTAATATCTTATCTGCACCCGGCAAGACGCAGACCGAGGGGCTTGTTCCGGTATGACAGGAGGCTGAGGAATAATGAAGAAATGAAAACGCTTGTAGTAGAGGCTTGGAAGGAATATCCGGGGGCTACAGTGGACCAGAGGATAGCAAATTGCAGGAAAGCAATAATCCAATGGCATCGAATTCACCACCAGAATAGCCAAAAGAGGATAGAAGACAAAAGAGCTGAGTTAGAGGTAGCTATAAACAGTAATGTAATAGCTGAATCCACAGTTATTCAAATCAATAAAGATTTAAAAGAGGCTTACCAAGCTGAGGAAGAATACTGGAGACAGCGTAGCAGACAAATGTGGCTCAGCCTAGGAGATAAGAACAACGGATATTTCCATGCTGCTACAAGAAGCAGAAGAGCACAAAACAATATTTCAGTGATAGAGGATGGGCAAAGTAACTCAATCTTTGAGGAAAACCAAATAGGCGAGGTTATAAACAACTACTTCATGGAATTGTTTACCTCCAAAGAAGGAAGCAGCGCCAAAACAGTCCTCCAGAGCATAAACCCGAGCATATCTGCGGAGGAAAACAGAGAGTTAACAAAAATGCCCAATGCGAACGAGATAAAAGATGCCATCTTCTCTATCCATCCTGACAAGGCACCAGGCCCAGACGGATTCTCTGCCAGCTTTTACCACTCAAACTGGGGATCGATCGGAGAAGATATAACCACCGAGATCCAAAATTTCTTCAGATCAGGAGTCTTACCAAAGGGCATCAACGCGACTCATATCTGCTTAATACCAAAAATATCAGCGGCAAAGCCAGTGGCGGATTACAGACCAATTGCACTGTGCAATGTATACTACAAGATCATCTCAAAAATTCTTACCTCAAGGCTACGCCCACTCTTAAACAACCTTGTGTCGGAAACCCAATCTGCATTCGTCCCGGGAAGAGCTATAGCCGACAACGTCATGATAACGCACGAGATCCTACACTGTCTAAAAACGTCAAAAGCGGAAAAGCGAACATCAATGGCCATAAAAACAGATATGACGAAAGCGTATAATCGCATTGAATGGGATTTCATAAGGTTGGTTTTGGAAAGAATGGGGTTTCATACAAGATGGATTGGATGGATAATGCAATGTATAACAACAGTCACTTTTAAAGTGCTACTCAATGGTGAGGCAAAAGCAGAAATCATACCGTCGCGAGGAATAAGACAGGGAGATCCTCTCTCGCCTTATCTCTTCATTCTATGCAGCCAAGTTTTGTCGGGACTCTGCATCAAAGCACAAAAGGAAGGTCAGCTCTTAGGGATAAAAATTTCTCAACAAAGCCCGAGAGTAAATCATCTCCTCTTTGCTGATGACACAATGTTTTTCTGTAAAACAAATGAACGTACCTGTAAAGCTTTGAAATCAGTTCTACGGGAGTATGAAGAAGCATCGGGGCAAAAGATAAACTGCAAGAAGTCAGCCATAACTTTCTCACGCAGAACACCCAGAGCGGTAAAGAGAAAAGTGCAACGATGGTTAGAGATCAAACAAGAGGGAGGCCAAGGTAAATATCTCGGACTACCAGAAGGCTTTGGAAGGAAGAAAAAAGACCTGTTCAATGCAGTAGTGGATAGAATCAGACAAAAAGCCTTAGCCTGGTCCTCAAAGCAACTCTCAAGTGTAGGCAAACTGGTCCTCCTAAAATCCGTGCTTTCCTCGATGCCGACTTACTCCATGACATGCTTTATACTGCCAGTAAGCCTCTGCAAAAGGATACAGTCAGTGCTTACCCGGTTCTAGTGGGATTCAAACCCCGAGAAAAAGAAAATATGTTGGATCTCATGGAAGAAACTAACCCGAGGAAAGCGAGATGGTGGCCTCGGGCTAAGGGACATACAAGACTTCAATGACGCCTTACTTAGCAAACAAAGTTGGCGAATCCTGTCAAAGCCAGAAGGCATCTTAGCTCGCATTCTAAAAGGCAAGTACTTCCCGGACTCAACATTCCTCGAAAGCAAACCAAGGTAAGGAGGATCACATGGATGGAAAGGGATAATGATTGGTAAGGAGCTGCTGCAAAGAAAGCTAGGAAAAGTTATTGGCAATGGGGCCACGACAAATGTGTGGGAGGAACCATGGCTTTCAACATCAGAACCAAAAGCCCCAATAGGACCTGCTCCAAAAGAATACAAGGATCTTAGAGTGGCAGACCTTTTCCTACCAAACACAAGAGAATGGAATGTTGAGTTACTGAATTTAATCCTACCAGCTCACCAAGAGGAGATCCACTGCATTTTTCCGGGGAACTATGAAACACAGGACCACCTAGCATGGCTCCCACAGTCGAATGGAGAATATACGGTGAAGACTGGGTACTATACAGCTAGGAGTCAGGAAGAAACGGAAGTATACCCTACAACCACAATCACAAATTTCAATTGGGTATCGGAAATCTGGGCAAGGAAGGTTGCGCCAAAACTAAAAATTTTCCTATGGAAAGTGGTGGGAGGAGCCTTATCTGTTGGGGAAAACTTGGCAGCAAGAGGAATCATACCCCAGTCACAGTGCATTCGATGCGGAGAACTAGAAACAACCCTTCACTTGCTCTTTCACTGTCAATTTGCGCAAAGAGTATGGAGCCTAGCACCAATGCGAGAACCAGTCTCGTCGATCTAAGTACCAAACATAACAGAAAGGATCATTGCGCTGAGAAGACAAATCTGCCTATCACCTTTGGACCTTGAGAACGGGGCTCTAGCACCATGGGTTTTATGGAGCATCTGGTTGAGTAGAAACAAACTAATCTTCACCAATCATCGGATCACAGAAGGAGAAACCTTGTATCAAGCAATAATCCATGCGAGAGAATGGAAGGAAGCCCAGGTACCGGAGACCCCGTCGCAACCAATGATTGCTCGCGATCCACACACAGCGAATCACCCAAATCAGATTACTGCAAGACAGACGGAGCATGGCATGAAGAACGGAAGATCAGAGGAATAGGATGGACTTTTCACCGAGCAAATCAAAGCAAACTCGCCCAGGACTCCAAAGCTCAAAGATTCGTAGCATCGCCTCTGGTAGCGGAAGCACTTGCAGTCCGGTTAGCTCTTCGACATGGCCTATCAATGGGAATCACCAACATGCAGGTCGCCTCTGATGCGCTTCAGCTCGTCAACGCAATCAACTCGGGTTCCTGGCTATCAGAAATATACGGAATTTTGCAGGATATCCCGCATTTGTCTAAGTGTTTTGTTGATGTTAAATTCATCTCTATCACTTGAAAAGCTAATACGCTAGCTGATACAATTGCAAAACAATCTCTTAGGGTCTTTATAGCCCAAGAAGAGTAATGGGTTTAATGAATCTTTTTCGAACAAAAAAAAAAATATTAGAATAACAATTTCTTGGCCACACTATACGTATATGTCACTCTCTTCTTTTACAGAGATTGGCCATTAATCCACCTTTGGAACATGATAAAGCCTCCCTCTGGTTTAAACTCTGCTGTGTGTCCGCTTCCCTATATTCAAAACTTACAATTCAATTAAGAAATATACAATTGTTAAGTTGAAAAAAAATTGCTTTGATAGTAGCAAATGTCATTTTATTTGCATAAGTCCTTGTGTATCTGTGAAGTAAAAGAATTAATTACAGTAGAACCTCTATAAATTAATATTCAATAAATTAATAATCACTATAAATTAATATTTTTGTCGGTCCCAAGTCGGGTCAGTATAAAAATTAGCAAATTTCGATAAGATAATAAGATAATAATTTTTTTTGAAACTCCTATGTATAAATATAGTCCCAATAATTAGATAAATTAATAATTATAAATTTAAAAATATATGAATAATATAATATAGTAAAATATAATTATATTATTGTTTCAAGTTTATAAAAATTGTTTGACTTATTTTTCAAATTCACTTATATGATATTTTCTGAATAAATTTTATATTAATAAAAATATTTTTTTTTGTTTTTTGACAAATATTTTGAATTTAAACTGATATATCTCTCTATAAATTAATAATTATTAATTTATCGATTAATTAATAACTCTATAGATTAATAAATTTTTGAAGTCCCAACATTATTAATTTATAGAAGTTTTACTGTAATGGCTGAACCATCTTCATGTCCACATACGTTACCTGATCTTTCTTCAGATTGTGAAATGGAATTAATCGACTGTGTTAGATAAATTTAGTTAAGATTTAACAGCAATAATCAAGTGTTTCTAGGAGTATGTATATTAGAATGATCTTGGCGTTTAAACATAATTGTAATTTATTTTTAATATCCTTAATGAAATTAGGAAATTGTCTAGCAAACACAATGATATGCATTATAAATATCATAATAGCTTTTAGACATTTTAAACTAATGATTCTCTTTTAATAATATAGATTATTTAATTTTTATTTACAACTGTTTCATAGGATAATTCAATTTTGTGCTCCAAGTTGTTGGGATGTTGAATCAGTTCGACAAAAGTGGTACAAGTATGGCCACTTTGTATTATTATGATGAACTGTTGGTATAGCTGACATATTGAACCGTGAATTTAAAATAGTAAAATAAAATTTCTTTATCTTCCACTACTTTTAAAAAAAAATCATTGAAGCGATTAGGACAATCTTTTTTTTATTCTTTTACAAATCTAGAAAAAATATTTCTAAATGTAGATACTCAATTGCGACTTTGCATTGTAATTTGGAATATAAAAAAACATCATTTGAGTTATAATAATCACAAAGCCAATCTTGTTTTGGTTCATCTTATTTTATTTGGTTCTCCAAAATTAAAAAAGGCACCACTATCCAGTTTTCCACTTCGAGAAAAATAAAAATGCGAAAAAAGAAAATGAGTGGGCGTCTTGGGACCCACTTGATGACGTGGCTATTCCCTACGTGTAACACACCGTAACTTTTCTCTCCTCACTCGAAGCCCAAAGATCTCTCGATTTCTCTTTTAATCTCTCTATCCTTTTCTGTTTCGCGTTCATAAGAAGAATCTCTGAAGATTTTTTGTTTCTATCTTTATCTCTCTCATTTTTAGCAATTACCCTCACCTGAATCTTGAATCAATCTTCTAGATCGTCTTTTTGATTCCTGAGTTTCCGTTTTTCTCCGATCCGCCGTCTTGGATTTGGTACCCATGACGATCACTGATGAGTCGGAGAGTTGCGGCAGCAGAGCCGTCGTCGCTTCGCCGTCTCAGGAAAACCCTAGGCATTACAGGATGAAACTCGATGTCTTCAGCGAGGTTTTACAGCGACTCCAGGAATCTAACTACGAAGAAGCGACTCTTCCTGATTTCGAGGATCAACTTTGGCAACATTTCAATCGCCTTCCTGCTCGGTAATCTCCTTCTTCTTCTTCATTTCCTCTACATTGATTCGCATGTTTCCCCTAGGGTTTTGTATCTTTGGATTTGATCAATTCGATTTTAGGATTAAGGGTTTTGCATCTTCGTTTCTTATCTACTAAATTTTCTGTTTGATCAATTCAATTTCCTTATATGGTTTTGTATATGTTCATCGACAGCGACGGATCTTTCTCTGTTGACAAAAACTTATATTCTTTAACGTTTCTCAACACGTGTCTTACCAAAAAACGATGATCAATTGAATGATTTTATTTGGTTTTGTTAGTATCTTGATTCATCTTTTGGCATTTCGTTGCATGTTACTGTGATTTCCAGATATGCTCTCGATGTTAAAGTTGAGAGGGCAGAAGATGTTCTTACGCATCAGAGATTGCTGAAATTAGCGGAAGATCCTGCAACTAGGCCTGTGTTTGAAGTTCGTAGTGTACAGGTAAAATAAGCTTTTAAAGATTCTCCAAAAACTCTTTTGCGTTATTGTGTTCATTGGTTTTCTCTTGCCCTCTTTCTTGCAGGTTACTCCCAGAAACTCTGCTGCTGACCCTGCGTTGGAGGAAGATGCTCAAAGCTCTAGCCACCCAAACGGGCAGGGGTAAAGACTTTTATCAAACTGAGATCGATCTTAAACCATGTTCAACTTTTTAATCGTGCGATTTCTTCTTGCTTAAAGGGTTCTTGCACCTCCAACTTTTGGCTCATCTCCAAATTTCGAGGCTATTACTCAGGGAAATAAAATCGTTGAAGATGTTGATAGTGCTGTTAATGCAACATTGACTACACGGTGAGATTTCTTGGTTAAATTTTGTTTTTTTCTGAATTATGCTGCTCATTGTGTTTTTGTACTTATTCCTCCTACCTTGTTTGCGTGTACTTTTTTAGAATGGAATCGTAGCTCAGGTTAACTATAGAACTTTGTTGCGTTTGTTGCCTATTGTGCAGACCGATGCATGAGATCACCTTTTCAACAATCGATAAGCCTAAACTCCTTAGTCAGGTCGGTAGTGCTTCGTTTACCGTCGTTGTTTGCTGCTTAAATTCTTAAACTTTGCTACACTTTTGAGGAATTTTGAGTGACAATTTGAGTGAGAAACGGTTTTCTGTTTCAGCTTACTTCCCTGCTTGGAGAGCTTGGACTGAATATTCAAGAAGCTCATGCTTTCTCCACCGTGGATGGTTTTTCTTTGGATGTCTTTGTTGTTGATGGTTGGTCTCAGGAGGTATGATTTTCAGCGATTTGAAGCAACTTGTTACCTAGTGAATGCCTTAGCGAGATCTTAAGTACTTATAACTTTGATGTATTTCTTATCTCTAAGCTGGTTGATAAACTTTAGCAACTTTGGAATTATAGGAAACAGATGGTCTAAAAGATGCACTAAGCAAGGAGATACTGAAGCTTAAGGTATTTTCCATATTCTAATTTTTGTGAATATTTCTTATATTCATGAGATATAATATGCGTTGATTCTCCAAATTGAAATTAGCTTTACATCATTAGAAAATGGCATACCTTAGTTTCCGCTGGCTGTGTTCTACAGGATCAACCTGGTTCAAGACAGAGATCTATTGCTTTCTTTGAGCATGACAAATCAAGTAACGAGCTGATACCCGCCTGCATTGAAATACCCACGGATGGAACAGACGAGTGGGAAATTGACGTGAAACAGCTCAAAATTGAAAAGAAAGTAGCATCTGGTTCATATGGAGATCTGTGAGTTTTATAAGTTCTGTAATCTTGTTCGACAAAACTGCAAGTTTTTATTTAGAAGTTAAAAGTAATTTGTTTTTGATGGCTATGCAGGCATAGAGGCACTTATTGCAGTCAGGAAGTAGCTATCAAATTCCTCAAGCCTGAGCGTGTAAACACAGAGATGCTTAGAGAGTTTTCTCAAGAAGTTTACATTATGAGGTCGGTGCAATTAATTACGTGGAATGTATTCCCATAGTAGAACTCTGACATTCCAAGCAAATTCTAGTTCATAAATTTCGTGCAGAACATGCCTGAGTGACCCTTTTTTTCACTACATTAGCACTTGTCTTACGTTTATATTCAGGAGCAGGCTTGAATTTTGATGGTCCTTGTCTTACGTTTTGCAAGTTGCATGTTTCATTGTTATCTTTACTGTCTATAGGAAAGTCCGACATAAAAACGTCGTTCAGTTTTTGGGTGCATGCACACGATCTCCGACTCTCTGTATTGTGACCGGTAAGCTCTCAATAGATATGGGGTTGAGTTGTATTTCACAATAAAAACATGTCATTTTGAGTTGACGGGTTTTATCTTTGTGTCAGAGTTTATGGCTCGAGGAAGCATTTATGATTTTCTTCACAAACAGAAATGCGCTTTTAAACTACAAACTTTGCTTAAAGTTGCACTTGATGTTGCAAAAGGAATGTGCTATCTGCATCAAAACAATATTATTCACAGGGACCTTAAGACCGCAAATCTTCTTATGGATGAACATGGAGTAAGATTAGTTCTCTCTGTGGCTACTCTTAATTTAGTCAACATACACGTCTTTACTTTTTCATCTTCACCAACTTATTATATTTCTACTGTAATTTTGAGCAGCTTGTCAAGGTTGCTGATTTCGGAGTTGCCAGAGTCCAGATTGAATCAGGGGTCATGACAGCTGAAACAGGGACTTACAGGTGGATGGCTCCAGAGGTATGAATTCCACATCTCAGTTATAACTTATAACTAAGCTTTTGGTGTGCATCAGACTCTCCTCTGTTTAATTTCTCACTTACTTACTTGGACAATATACATATGAAACCTAGGTCATTGAGCACAAGCCTTACAGTCACAAAGCAGACGTGTTCAGTTATGCGATAGTGCTATGGGAACTTTTGACTGGTGATGTAAGAATCTGTTTACAGTTCTCTTTCTGAACCTTTTTTTTTTTTTTTTTTTCTGTTTTCACGTTCTGATATGTGTGTATCGTGTATTTGTAAATGGAAAACAGATACCATATGCTTTCTTGACTCCACTACAAGCGGCTGTTGGCGTTGTTCAGAAGGTATTTGTGTTTTTTTGAAAGAAGGTTGCATTCAAGTTTTGCCACTTCCTTCAGAGGCTAATTTAATGGAAGCCATCTTTTTTCTCAGGGGCTTAGACCGAAGATTCCAAAGAAGACGAACCCAAAAGTGAAGGGACTTCTAGAGAGGTGCTGGCATCAAGACCCAGAACAGAGACCGGTCTTTGAGGAAATCATAGAAATGCTGCAACAGATAATGAATGAGGTAAACGTCGTAAATGTGATCCGACCCGAGTAAAAACACACAGGCGAAGAGTTTCTCAGAGAAGGATGTGGATGTGGTGAAAACAAGCAGGTTCCAGAAGAAGACGCGAGCAAGGACAATCAGTGTCTTAGTTTCTTACAACAACACTTCAGAAAGCCACGTTACTAGTTCTGACCCACGTTTCAAGGATAACTCCACTCATTCACTCTCTTTACATTTTGACTTGTACAGTTTCTTTTTTCTATTTTTCATTTCGTTTTGGTGTGGCTAATGGGTTAGGACCTAGTTTTTGACCTTAGAGAGTGTTTTCTCTCTTTCATGATTTCTTTTTACGTATAAAAATCCTTCCACACTTTCCCTTTTATAAAAAGAAAGAAAGTTTGCGTATTCATTTGGCTAAATATTTGTCTTTTGACTAGTTGGTGCAAAACTGCTTGAACCATTTTAGAGTTAAAGTTTCTCATTTTTTCGAATCTAGAAACTTTCTCAAATCTCAAGTATAAATGTATAATCATGCTTTGATGACCATAGAAATGAAGACGTGTGAGAAGCAAATACAAAACAATTTTATCCTTCAAGTCACATGGGCTTTTGCTGCGTGAAGTTTTTCTGTCGTTTTAGACATTCAAAATCACACACTGTGCCGTCTTCTGTGCAAAGAAACGACATCATGCGATGCCGTACAAAAATGACGGAACAATTTTATCCATCAAGTCAATGCCCAATTCTGGACTCAAAACGCATGGGCTTTGCTGTGCGTAGATTTCCTGTCATTTTAGACATTCAAAAGCACACACCGTGCTGTCTTCTGTGCAAATAAACGACATCATGCGAACCCGAAACGATAAATGTTTAGAGCTCCAGTCATCGGAACATGATGGGATAAAAACACGGCTCTGATTTGTGAAGCGTATGGTTCTCTCTTCACGTCTCTCTGACTTTGATCACTCCCTACTACGAATTTGAATTAACTCTGAAATCTCGATTATTTTAATCTCCCTTGATAACAACTGATTCTCTCGCTATTTACATTGTATTTGTGGCCGATATTTCTGGTAATTCTAGGTCTGTTTCAATTCTTGCGGAAGAGATGGTGTTCTTGAGCTGGGGCCGTCCATCTTCCGAGCAACAGCAACAAGTAATCAACAAGTAAGAATCAAAACTCATAAAATTTGCAACAACAAAATAAAAAACCTAATCTTGCAGAAGAAAACTCTCTCTCTGAGTGAGTATCTAATTGGTGTGTGTGATTTTCAAAATTCAGAACAGGAACGTTCAATTATGACAACAAGTACAGAGGGGCTTCGTCTAGATCAATAGCTACGCTAAAAGAGGATTCAGAAGTCGATAAAGATGGATTCTTGATCAATCACTCTCGGGTTTTAGTCGGTTCTGGTAAAAATAGCTACGAGAAGGGGAAAAAAGCTCTCCAGAATTGGAAGTACGTTTGCTTTTACTCATCCTGAAAAATTGTATTTGGTTTAGCTCAACTATTTTCATTGCAGGCATTTTGGTATGGATTGGGCATTCGTTGATCCCAAAACTCCTGTTGAAACCGGCAAGAAGTTCTGCATTTGTGTGAAAGAAGTGCTTCCATGGGTGATGCTTCCTCTGCAAGTGGTTTATGTCGACGAAAGCCGGAAATCTAGAAAAGGTCCTGCGCATTTCGGCTACGGGAGCGGCACTCTTGAGGGACATTTACTAGCCGGAGAAGAACGGTTTTCGATAGAGCTCGACGGAGATGGTAAAGTATGGTATGAGATCAAATCGTTGTCAAAGCCGGCTCATTTCTTGTCCTTCTTCGGATACCCTTATGTGAAGCTAAGGCAGAAACACTTTGCTCATCATTCTTCTGATGCTGTCCTCAAACATCTCAACGATTCATCATGACACCGATAAATGAATGAGTGAAAGACATTTCATTTTGATTTACAATATTAAATATTTGCATCTTCTTTCTAAGGTTTATCTATTCGGATGAATGGTACTATTTATATTAGTTCTAAATTGATTTGCGATTACTAATAATACTACACTATTTTGAAATAATTTAGACACAGTAGAATTAAAGTTATTTACCGAAATTTGAATTTGAAATGAGGATGTAAAAATGAAAACAATGTACTGCAAAACAAAATATATGGTGTTGAAAAAAAAATAAGTGCAAAAAGATGAATTATGCTAGAAGTTATTATAATAAGACATAATGTGAATGGTAATTGTGGAATTCGACGGATTTTTTTTATAAAATATCTAATAATGTAAATAGTAATAGAAGAATTGTAAAATATTCAAAAAATAATTGAAAATATGAATTAAGTGAATATGTATGTAAGAAATTAAAATCATTATAGTATTAATATATTAAAATAAAAATAAAAAATAACTAGAATCAAACTGAAAACGAAATATTTATATTTATTATAAATAAAATAAAATTACAATTATAATTTAATTATATTAATTATTTTCAGATTAAAATAACTAAAATATCCAAAAATCTATAGTTATATTTCTCAAAATAATTGATTTAAATACCCAAAAATATAAAATTTATTTTGGATATTTTGCATAAATTTGGATAGTTAATTTTGGATAATTCGAATAAACAAAACTAGTTAGAACCTAGACAGAATCAAACCAAACTCAACCTGAAAAAAAAATACCTAAAAAGATCTTATATCCTAATACTGAAATACTCAAAACCTAAAAAAAACAACTCTTAAATTTTTCTTACTGCAATTACTATTAAAATATATTTTGAAATTAATATTTTAATCATATTCTTTCTATTATTTTTATTGTGCAATCTACTATCTGTATTATCATATTTAAAATCAAATTTGAACATAGATAAGAAAAATTGGTTTAATACTTATCAGTATGCAATTGCCAATTATCATTTAAAAATTTTCAGCCTGCTAAAAAAACAACCTAACTAAATTCAGCTAATGCAACTAGCAAATGTATTTTGTTTTCAGCTGAAATTCCATCTAATTCAGCAAACTCGGATACCATCTAAGGCACTTCCATCATATTTTTCAAAAACAATATTTTATGAACAAAAAATGAAAAAGAGAAAAAAAGAAAGAAAAATCAGATACATTTCTCATCTGAAAAATGACGGCTGTTAACTTATAATTGTCTCATTTCTTATATATTTTAAATTATAATTAGATAAATAACTTATATTAATATTAAATAAGAGAGAGAATGTAAATTATTATCATCGATGGAGCTGCTATAATAGCATCCCCATCTAGGCATCATGTTGATGGAGTCTCCTCTGGACGAGTTTTATGCGGTGATAATGAAGGATACATTCGTTTGGAAATTTCTCGAACTGTACAGTTGTAAGAAGATTATGAGTTTTTAAATAAAATCGGGGACAACATTCCCTAATTCATACCAATAAAAAAAAGCATCCCATCAATAGCATATATTATCGATGAGGTTGCTATAATAGCTTTTCTATCAAAGAGTTCTCAAAAAGTATTTTAAAATAAAATTAGTATTAAAAAATAAAAAGTACAAGATATATATGAAATAAATATATCATTTGAGAAATTTTGAGATACCTTTAAAACCTATTCATGCCACATGTTTCATCTTTATTAGCTTTTTTCTTAGCAAACCAAAATTTGACCACACAATTAATTATATTAATAAAATACTTTTCCGTTCCATAAAATTTGATTTTTTAGGTTTTTTCTTTATTCTAAAAAATTGATATTTTAGATTATTCAATATCTTATTTTTGTAGACTTCAAAAAAGTAACTAAAATTATTTGAAAAATCGTAAATTGCTATTGGTTAACAATTACTAAAAAGTAATGATAGTAATACATTAATAATAAAAAAATAATATTTTCTTAATTTATGTGAATGAGTCAAAGATATCAACCTTTTAGGAATAGAGGAAGTAATATATTTTCTTTCGAGAACTCCAATGAGGTTTTGAGAGCATTTCCATCCATGAGATACCTATAAAGTATTTAAAACAAAAAAATCATTGTTTTAACATAATTATATTTTGCAATTAAATCTTAATGTTTAAACTTTTTGTGTACCAATAGTTAGACAATGATGATTTGGAGTTCTCATGGATATTTCAAAAATTCCTATTTGAGAATCTCTCTTCATTCTTTTTCTCTCTTCTTTTTTTATCTTTTTTATTCACTAGATACTTTTATGAGATACTTAGACCATCCTCATCGGTGGAAATGTTAAAAAAAGTATTCTTAACTATATTTTAATATAATTTATTATGTAAAATTAAATTTTAATATTTTAAAAAATAGAACCAGTTAAAATAGGATAAGTGGGTTTATAGTATCTTAGTTTTGTTAGAAACATTTCTTAAATTGCTTAAATAAGAGTCGTATCTGACTCTCTCTCTTTCTTTCTCACAGTTTTAATATTTTTTTTTTAAATTTAGATACTCAGTTTAAATATCGTGATGTGAATGCTTTGATGGGGAATGCTTTTAAAAATAAGAACCTGTTTGCATATCATGTGATACCCTTAACTGTAAAAGACATTGATTGAATTTGCTTTTATTAATAGATAAAAAACCAGCTTTGACCTAAAAACTAAAACAAAATTTAGAATAAGCTAGAAAAAACATTTCGATTTGAATTCGCTTTGTCAGTAAAGATGAAAAGGTAAACTTTTTATTCAGATAAATGGTATTCTTAATCCAAGGAAACAACTTTCACCTAAACAAGATTCAGAAAAATCTAGAAACAAACTTTTGGATTTGATTTCGCTTTGTCCATAAAGATGAAAGATAAACTTTTTATTAAGATGATTTGGTACTCCTAATATAAAAGAAAACAACTTTGAGCTAAACAAGATTCAGAAAAATCTAGGAACAAACATTTGGATTTGAGTTCGCTTGATTTATGAAGATGAAAGGTAGGTTTTTATTCATATGAATGGTATTTTTTTTTATAAAAGAAAACAGATTTAAGCTAAACAAAATTCAGAAAAATCTAGAAACAAACATTTAGATTTGAATTAGCATTGTCTATAAAGATGAAATGTAAGTTTTTTATTTAGATAAATGGACCTCTTCATATAAAAGAAAACATATTTGAGCTAAACAAGATTCGGAAAAATCTATGAACAAACATTAGGATTTGATTTTGCTTTGTTTATGATCGATGAAAGGTAAGTTTTCTATTAAGATGAATGGTATAATTAATATATAAAGAAAACATGTTTAAGCTAAACAAGATTTAGAAAAATCTAAAAACAAACATTTAGATTTGATTTCGTTTTGTTTATAAAGATGAAAAGTAGGGATTTTATTCAGATGAATGATATTGTTAAGATGAATGATATTTTTTTATATAAGAGAAACCAGCTTTGAACTTAATCAAGATTCAGAAAAAGCTTGGAGCAAACATTTTGAAACAGTTCTGCTCGGTACTGGTGACTCTTGTGATACTAGCATCTTCAAGCTTGAACACCCTGATCTTACATTCCTTGTCAGCGAAGTAGATTGCATTTTTTAAACATCCATGGAACTCACCGGCCGAAACCGAGAAACAAGTATCGGTAGCCATCACAAAGGCGTCGTCTCCCAATGACTTAACTTCAACCCATTTCCCCATATCCTCATCCATCTTGTAAACCTTGAAACCGATCGTTTTGGGAGATGTTTCGCCTATCTGGTTCCCATCATCGTCGACAGCGCAAACATAAAAAACATTAGGATCCAAGGTATCACCCTCTTTAAGGATGACGATCAACAATGTAAAGCTCTCCACCATGTTGCACGAAGCTTAAGTTTCTGCAATCGCTACCAGTGATGCTTTCATCTAATGGTGGTCCGTACTTGAAGATGGAAAGAGAGGAGCTTATCCACCAAACTGACCCATCCGAAGCCAAGGCGTAAGTTAGCCCTCCGTGGATTACAACGTCGGTGAACTCAGCAAGCTGGTCTTTGAGTATGGTCCAGATTCGACCACTCCAAAACCTGATCCTCCCGTCCCAGCCGACTCCCAAAGCATGATCTCCTCCTTGGACGGTGGCAAGAACCACTCTTTTGAATCCGGGATCTGGTTCGTCCATGCGCCTGTCGTGAACCACGTAGGCTTCTTGAATCTCGGAGACATTGAAACGCAAGAGATTGATGCTCTTGCACCTGTGTTTCAAAGGGATGCGCGAGAAATGGTCGAGAAGACGAAATTTCCCCGAGTTGAGATCGGTGTCGGATTTGATCAGCCACCCTTGGTTCGGCGAGGAGGAGGGAGTGACGCGGAAGAAGGCGGCACCTGAGAGGAACGCGTTTCCTTGTTGGGAGGCATTTTCAGTTGGGTCGAGGAGTTTGAGCTCGATGAGAGGTCGGCTCCGGAAAGGATTGTCGAAAGCGGAGGAGCGCCAAGAACGGCAGACGCTACGGAAACTTTTGAGTTCGATGACGGAGAACAAACAGACGGCGATCATTCCGAGGAGTTCCCTCGGTAACTTTGACCAATCAACCATTTTCTCTCTTACGTTTGTACACATAGTGATAGAGTTACGTAACTAAGAAGGTATTGGGATATACGTTGGATGTTTTTCTGTCCAAGAACTAAGAAGGTATTGATATATATTTTACACGCTCCAACTTGAAATGGAAAAATATTTTTGGATAAGATTTCCTATATTTTTATAGATTAGTTTAGGGGATATCTTAGCTTCTACATATCTTGTAGATTAGTAGACTCTATCTCTACTTTGTAATATGCATTTATATATAGCATATCTTTTCCATGAATGATAACAATATCTTTCTAGTTTAGTTAAAAATATTCTAAATATTTTTAGTACCAATTTTATTATTTAGAATTTTTTATTTACTGTATAAGTTTTTTTCTAAAATTTTGAATTTTATTATAATTTAACTGTTTAAATTGTATTTACTTTTTTGGTTATTCAATAGAATTGACCTTTTGTCTTTTCTATTTGTTCCAAGATAAAACCAAATTTTGCTACTAGTAATTGAAAAATAATAATACAAAAAACAGCCTATCACAAACATATCGTTTCTGCGAGTAGATAAAATATTGGACAGAAGATATAAAATCTAATGAAAAATAGTTTGTAGTTGTAGTAGATGAAAATTTTAATCTTTTCAATTTTTAAATAATTTTTTTCTTATAGAGAAACAAAACCGTTGAATAGAGAAATTCGTAAAGAAATATATGTATTTGAAAGATGATCTAACATATATTAAACATGAAGCATGATAGGCTTAGGTGTCATTATCTCATTTTTTCTAATATTTTTTTATTAATATATTTTTGTGTGCTATCCTTATTACCAAACACTTTATTTTAAATCATTTAAATTAAACCGAATTTCAATCGAACCGATCATAAATAATTCGATAATTTTATTGGTTTAATAAATTAAATTAGTTACCTATTTTATTAATAGAAATGAAAATTATTTCTATCTTTTAGATCTACGAGCATTTATTATTTTGCAACTTTTTTGATTTAGATATTATACAAATGGAAAAGAATACTATTTTTAAAAATCTCAGACGAAAGTAAATGTAAATATTGCTTTGTACAAATTTAAATTATGAATGAAAAAATAACTAAATTATTTTTTACTGTATAAGTTTTTTTCTAAAATTTTGGAATTTATTATTATTTAACTGTTTAAATTGTATTTATTTTTTGGTTATTCAATAGAATTAAGCTTTTATCTTTTCTGTTTGTTTCAAGATAAAACCAAATTTTGCTACTAGTAATTGAAAAATAATCTATACTAAATGAAAGAAGGAGTTTGAGACTTTTTAAGCTATTCACCTCAGCTTTTTATGTTATTCTCTCCTTTTGCCACATCAGCAAAATAACAATAATAAAATACTCTTACAAAATATGTTTTGAAATATATATAAACTAAATAAATAGAACCACTAAAATTAATATAGTTATTAAAAAAACTAAATAAAATTAAAATTTATTTTTGAATCAAAATATCATTTTTTGAATCAGTAAAATAAACATCATTTAAATCTAAAAATTTAATATATTCTCTTTTTGTTTGTCATATAATGAATATTTTAGAAAATAATTTGTACAAAAAAACTTAAATAATAGCTAACAGAAACAAGGTTACAAAAAATGAAAGGAAGAGTTTGAGATTCTTAAAGCTATCCAACTCATTTTTTTTAATTTACTCTCTCTCTCTTTACCACATCATCAAAAAAAAACGATAATAAAATGCTCTTACAAAATATTTTTTAAAATATATATAAAATAAATAAATAGAACCACTAAAATTAATATAGTTATTAACATAAACTAAATAAAATTAAAATATTATTTTTGAATCAAAATATCTTTTTTTAAATCAGTAAAATAAACATCATTTAAATCTAAAAATTTAATATATCCTCTTTTTGTTTGTAATATAATGAATATTTTAGAAAATAATTTGCACCAAAAAAAACTTAAATAATAGCTAACAGAAAAAGATTACAAAAAATGAAAGAAAGAGTTTGAGACTCTTTAAGCTATCCAACTCAATTTTTTATTTACTCTCTCTTTTTTATCACATCATCAAAAACAAATGATAATAAAAAACTCTCACTTTAGATTTTTTAAAATAAAAATAAAATAAATAAATATAACTACTAAAATTAATATAGTTATGAACAAAAACAAAATCAAATTAAAATATCATTTTTAATCTGTAAAATAAATATCAATTAAATCTACAGCTTTAATATATTCATCTTTTGTTTGTAATATAATAAATATTTTGGAAAACGAATGGCAAAAAAAGTTAAATAATAGTTAATAGAAATAAGATTAAAAATAGTAATTTCTATAAAAAATTTAAAATATTTGCAATTTAGAAAAATCTAAAACATTCATCTTTTAGAAGCATACAGAGTTTATACATAACAAATAATTTGTTTTTGAAATTAACATAACTGTATTGTACATATGTGGATACAAAATTGTCTATTATTTATACAAAGGTAAACTTATAAGACTTTATTAAAATATTACTTATTACAAAAAATATATGCAATACATTTACAGAAAAAATAGATGAGCATAACTATATATTAAACATCAATATATTGATTTTTAATAATTAAAAATAGTATATACTTTTTTATGTGAAAGAAAATGTCATAGAAACATCCATAACAATCCACATCAACGAAAAAAAAATTCTTACAAACTCAATATATAAGGAAAACTAATATAACTTTTTTTGGTTAAAAAATCTTTTAAAAAACATAATATAAATTATTAATTTAATTATAAAGACTCATCAAAATATATGTATAGTGTAAAAAAATATCTAAATTAAATTACAAGTCAAATATTAATGAAATTTTAACACTTTTTGAGTTTTGAGAAACCTAACATACTTTGTTTAATGTAATGAGTTTGTATGAAGTTGTATTTGTATATGTATTACTTAAATCCACATCAACAAAAGAGAAATTCCTTACAAACTCAACATGTAAGAAAAATTAACATGGTTTTTTTTTCTGGGGCTAAGAAACTCTTTTCAAAATAATATAATATATTATTAATTTAATTATAAAGGCTCATAAAAATATATGTGTAGTATAAGAAAAATATCAAATTTAAATTATAAATTAAATTCAAATGAACCTTCTATACATTTTGAGTTTTGAGAAACTCAACGTATCTTTTTTAATATAATGAGTTAGTATGAAGTTATATTTGGGTATGTATTATTTGCTTTATTCATCTATACTTCTATAGTTTACAGATACTTCAAGGACCAAATCAAAATTGCAGTTTATCAATATGATTTTGATTTTGTATACTATGTAAATGTTGTTTTTATTTATACAAACAATAGTTCTTTTACGGATTTGTAAGAGTTTTGAATATCGATTGTTGTGTTTGTATTTGAGACTGCTAATGAAAAAAAAAACACTACACAAACAAAAATAAAATAAAAATAAATTCAAATTAATTGGAACAATAATCAGGTATTTCAGTTGTAGTCATATGTTTGACAACTTATTTTTTTATATTTAAAATCAAAAAATCGTTTTAAATTAAATTAACAGAAAACTTATAGTTGTTGAGTTCAATTATCAAATTTAGTTAATACAAAATAAGTTTATTAATATTTTGAAAGTTAATGAACAACAATGGTTATTGAAAGTAACTTGATAGTTAATTTTTACATACATCAAGTTAGTCAATTGTTAAACTGAATCATAATATTTGTTTTGAATGTTAAAAAAAATTCGACGTATAACCACATCAAAATGATATTGAAAAACAATATTTATTAATTTAAAACTAAAATAATTTAACTTAAATAATAATCAAATATTTATAAAAACACGTAGCGCAGAAACATCCCTAGTAATAGAAAAAACAGCCTGTCACAAGTACAACGTGGCTGAGAGTGGATAAAAAAATGGACAGAAGATAAAAAATTTTAATGAAAAAATGGTTTGTAGTTGTAGTAGATGAAAATTTTAACCTTTTCAGCTTTTTAAAGATTTTGTTCTTATAGAGAAACAAAATGAAACCGTTGAATAGAGAAATTCGTAAAGATTATATGTATTTAAAAGATGAATTATGTGAAGAATCTCTCAACTCCATGGAAACAAAATCAATGCAGAGCATCTGGTTTGAATCAAAAATTAGTGAAATTAATGACATGACATCTTCATGAAAAAAAAATATTTTTGAAAGTTATGATGATGTTGGCTGCACTATTTTAACAAAAAACTTTTAATTAAAGCATCAAACCTATTTTAGAATATTAATATTAACAATGAATTTTGTTTCCAGCTAGTTGAGTAATATTAATATTTGGGCAAATTTTAATCGGTTCTTATTTAGAATAACTTTTCGGATCAATGTTTAAAGACATCACCTAAAATATATCAGTTTCGGTAGAACAAAGAGATATTCTGAGAATAACAATTGTATTGACAGTAACATAGTCGATTCACAGACGCATACTTATCAAAGCTACAAAAGCCACATAAACATAAAAGCAGTGATCGTACTCCATTGAATGAAAAAAGTGTATTGCTGATTTTGTCCTTGGACTTTCCTTTGATCAAGCTCAAAGCCTTCTCGGCATCATCTTTGGCAAGGAATCGCTGAAGATCCTTCAAATCAATGAACCTGAAAACAGAATTTGGAAAATTATTCTATTACTCCTCCACAATTTATTGGTGGATAATTGAGTTTCATTAACGGTACAAAGAGAAAGAAACACAATGTTTTACTTGTAGTATCTGTTTGTTTTCTGTATATAAATCAACTTTTTCATGATGTAAATGATAAATTTCAGATGAAAGAAGTTCAAATTTGACCGGAAAATGCACGAAAATCAAATGGTATATATAAATCAGACAACATTTTCTATTTTGCCTATCAACAAATTAAACTCATGAAAACAGATCTTGAAAGAAATCATGAATCAATGGTAGATATTGATGTGCTAAAGAAATCACAGAGAATCAGATTGTAGAGGGGATAAACAACAAACCCATGATGCAGCTGCATGAGAAATCTCCTCTATTTCCAAGAGGTTTCAAAATCACAGAAAATCGTGAACCTTAGATTTTGCTTTTTTTTTTTGGTCACGACCACCGACTCCATTTTTGGCTACGATTCTTTTTTGGTCACCCAAACACTACCATTTATGGGTAGTTTTTTCTTTGACATTAGAACAGACGGTAGATCATGAACACGTAAACATGGTAAGAAACCGTGAAAATCAAATAACTTCATTAATTTTTGTTTTATGGTTATGTTGCTCTTAATTAAGATTATGCAGATAAAATTTCATTTTGCCGCAAAAGTCTCTTTGTCGCAACACTTAATGAATAATAATAAAATCATGTCTACAAAGTCAAAGCCAAGATTTGCACTAAATGCAACTCATGAACTGCTGTTCAAACAAAATTCTCTTCAAGGTTTTCTGTAGAGGTATAGTACAGGTTGTGGCTTTTTTAGATTTGCAAGCATCCACTATTTCAGTAACACTACCATAAAAGATAATGTTTTCTTATATAATTGAAAAAACTGAGTGTTCACTTTTTTCTAGTGCAAATAGCAACTTTGGTTAGGGAAAATGTTATTGTGAGATTATAGATGCTTGTATACTCTTGACACCTCAACAATTGGAGATATATATATAGCCACTTTGTCTTCCTTTCCCCAGATGTGATTGGGCATTCGTTGATCCCAAAACTCTTGTTGAAACCGGCAAGAAGTTCTGCATCTGTGTGAAAGAAGTGCTTCCATGGGTGATGCTTCCTCTGCAAGTGGTTTATGTCGATGAAAGCCGGAAATCTAGAAAAGGTCCCGCGCATTTCGGCTACGGGAGCAGCACTCTTGAGGGACATTTACTAGCAAGAGAAGAACGGTTTTCAATAGAGCTTGACGGAGATGGTAAAGTATGGTATGAGACACGTCCTTGTCAAAGCCGGCTCATTTCTTGTCCTTCCTCGGATACCCTTATGTGAAGCTAAGGCAGAAACACTTTGCTCATCATTCTTCTGATGCTGTCCTCAAACATCTCAACGATCCTCAAACATCTCAACGATTCATCATGACACCGATAAATGAATGAGTGAAAGACATTTCATTTTGATTTACAATATTAAACATTTGCATCTTCTTTGTAAGGTTTATCTATTCGTATGAATGGTACTATTTATATTAGCTCTAAATTGATTTGCGATTACTAATAATACTACACTAATTTGAAATAATTTAGACACAATAGAATTAAAGTTATTTACCGAAATTTGAATTTGAAATGAGGATGTATAAATGAAAACAATGCACTGCAAAACAAAATATATGGAGTTGAAAAAAAGATAAGTGCAAAAAGATGAATTATGCTAAAAGTTATTATAATAAGACAAAATATGAATGGTGATTGTGGAATTCGACGGATTTTTTATAGAATATCTAATAATGTAAATAGTAATAGAAGAATTATAAAATATTCAATAAATAATTGAAAATATAAATTAAGTGAATATATATGTAAAAAATTAAAATCATTTTAATATTATTATATTAAACTAAAAATAAAAAATAACTAGAATCAAACCGAAAACGAAATATTTAGATTTATTATAAAAGAAATAAAATTATAATTATAAATTAATTATATTAATTATGCTCAGATTAAAATAACTAAAATATCCAAAACTCTATAGTTATATTTGTCAAAATAATTAACTTAAATACTCAAACTATAAAATTTATTTTGGATATTTTGCATATATTTTGGATAGTTAATTTTGGATAATTCGAATAAACGAAACTAATTAGAACCTAGACGGAATCAAACCAAACTCAACCTGAAAAAAAAAACCTAAAAAGATCTTATATCCTAATACTGAAATACTCAAAACCTAAAAAAAAACTGCTCTTAAATTTTTCTTACTGCAGTTACTATTAAAATATATTTGAAATTTATATTTTATTTATATTCTTTCTATTATTATTATTATGCAATCTATTATCTGTTTTATCATATTTAAAATCAAATTTGAACATAGATAAGAAAAAATGGTTTAATACTTATCAATATGCAATTGCGAATTATCATTTAAAATTTTTCAGCCTGCTAAAAAAAAAAATCCTAACTAAATTCAGCTAATGCAACTAGCAAATGCATTTTGTTTTCAGCTGAAATTCCACCCAATTCAGCTAACTCGGATACCATTTAAGGCACCTCCATCGATATTTTTTAAAAACAATATTTTATGAATAAAAAATGAAAAAAAGAAAAAAAAATCAGATATGTTTCTCATCTGAAAACTTACGGCTGTTAACTTATAATTGTCTCACTTCTTCTATATTTTAAATTATAATTAAATAAATAATTTATATTAATAATAATAAGAGAAATAATGTAAACTATTATCATCGATGGAGCTGCTATAATAGCATCCCCATCTAGGCATCATGTTGATGGAGTCTCTTCTGGACGAGTTTTATGCGGTGATAATGAAAGATACATTCGTTTGAAAATTTCTCGAACTGTACAGTTGTAAGAAGATTATGAGTTTTTAAATAAAATCGGGGACAACATTCCCTAATTCATACCAATAAAAAAAAGCATCCCATCAATAGCATATATTATTGATGAGGTTGCTATAATAGCTTTTCTATCAAAGAGTTCTCAAAAAGTATTTTAAAATAAAATTAGTATTAAAAAATAAAAAGTACAAGATATATATGAAATAAATATATCATTTGAGAAACTTTGAGATACCTTTAAAACCTATTCATGCCACATGTTTCATCTTTATTAGCTTTTTTCTTAGCAAACCAAAATTTGACCACACAATTAATTATATTAATAAAATACTTTTCCGTTCCACAAAATTTGATTTTTTAGGTTTTCTCTTTATTAAAAAAAATTGATATTTTAGATTATTCAATATCTTATTTTTGTAGACTTCAAAAAAGTAACTAAAATTATTTGAAAAATCGTAAATTGCTATTGGTTAACAATTACTAAAAAGTAATGATAGTAATACATTAATAATAAAAAATAATATTTTCTTAATTTATGTGAATGAGTCAAAGATATCAACCTTTTAGGAATAGAGGAAGTAATATATTTTCTTTCGAGAACTCCAATGAGGTTTTGAGAGCATTTCCATCCATGAGATACCTATAAAGTATTTAAAACAAAAAAATCATTGTTTTAACATAATTATATTTTACAATTAAATCTTAATGTTTAAACTTTTTGTGTACCAATAGTTAGACAATGATGATTTGGAGTTCTCATGGATATTTCAAAAATTCCTATTTGAGAATCTCTCTTCATTCTTTTTCTCTCTTCTTTTTTTATTTTTTTTATTCACTAGATACTTTTATGAGATACTTAGACCATCCTCATCGGTGGAAATGTTAAAAAAAGTATTCTTAACTATATTTTAATATAACTTATTATGTAAAATTAAATTTTAATATTTTAAAAAATAGAACCAGTTAAAATAGTATAAGTGGGTTTATAGTATCTTAGTTTTGTTAGAAACATTTCTTAAATTGCTTAAATAAGAGTCGTATCTGACTCTCTCTCTTTCTTTCTCACAGTTTTAATATTTTTTTTTTAAATTTAGATACTCAGTTTAAATATCCTGATGTGAATGCTTTGATGGGGAATGCTTTTAAAAATAAGAACCTGTTTGCATATCATGTGATACCCTTAACGGTAAAAGACATTGATTGAATTTGCTTTTATTAATAGATAAAAAACCAGCTTTGACCTAAAAACTAAAACAAAATTTAGAATAAGCTAGAAAAAATATTTCGATTTGAATTCGCTTTGTCAGTAAAGATGAAAAGGTAAACTTTTTATTCAGATAAATGGTATTCTTAATCCAAGGAAACAACTTTCACCTAAACAAGATTCAGAAAAATCTAGAAACAAACTTTTGGATTTGATTTCGCTTTGTCCATAAAGATGAAAGATAAACTTTTTATTAAGATGATTTGGTACACCTAATATAAAAGAAAACAACTTTGAGCTAAACAAGATTCAGAAAAATCTAGGAACAAACATTTGGATTTGAGTTCGCTTGATTTATGAAGATGAAAGGTAGGCTTTTTATTCATATGAATGGTATTTTTTTTTATAAAAGAAAACAGATTTAAGCTAAACAAAATTCAGAAAAATCTAGAAACAAACATTTAGATTTGAATTAGCATTGTCTATAAAGATGAAATGTAAGTTTTTTATTTAGATAAATGGACCTCTTCATATAAAAGAAAATATATTTGAGCTAAACAAGATTCAGAAAAATTTAGGAACAAACATTTGGATCTGATTTCGCTTTGTTTATGAAGATGAAAGGTAAGCTTTCTATTAAGATGAATGGTATAATTAATATATAAAGAAAACAGCTTTGAGCTAAACAAGATTTAGAAAAATCTAAAAACAAACATTTAGATTTGATTTCGTTTTGTTTATAAAGATGAAAGGTAGGGATTTTATTCAGATGAATGATATTATTAAGATGAATAATATTTTTTTATATAAGAGAAACCAGCTTTGAACTTAATCAAGATTCAGAAAAAGCTTGGAGCAAACATTTTGAAACAGTTCTGCTCGGTACTGGTGGCTCTTGTGATACTAGCATCTTCAAGCTTGAACACCCTGATTTTACATTCCTTGTCAGCGAAGTAGATTGCATTTTTTAAACATCCATGGAACTCACCGGCCGAAACCGAGAAACAAGTATCGGTAGCCATCACAAAGGCGTCGTCTCCCAATGACTTAACTTCAACCCATTTCCCCATATCCTCATCCATCTTGTAAACCTTGAAACCGATCGTTTTGGGAGATGTTTCGCCTATCTGGTTCCCATCATCGTCGACAGCGCAAACATAAAAAACATTAGGATCCAAGGTATCACCCTCTTTAAGGATACGATCAACAATGTAAAGCTCTCCACCATGTTGCACGAAGCTTAAGTTTCTGCAATCGCTACCAGTGATGCTTTCATCTAATGGTGGTCCGTACTTGAAGATGGAAAGAGAGGAGCTTATCCACCAAACTGACCCATCCGAAGCCAAGGCGTAAGTTAGCCCTCCGTGGATTACAACGTCGGTGAACTCAGCAAGCTGGTCTTTGAGTATGGTCCAGATTCGACCACTCCAAAACCTGATCCTCCCGTCCCAGCCGACTCCCAAAGCATGATCTCCTCCTTGGACGGTGGCAAGAACCACTCTTTTGAATCCGAGATCTGGTTCGTCCATGCGCCTGTCATGAACCACGTAGGCTTCTTGAATCTCGGAGACATTGAAACGCAAGAGATTGATGCTCTTGCACCTGTGTTTCAAAGGGATGCGCGAGAAATGGTCGAGAAGACGAAATTTCCCCGAGTTGAGATCGGTGTCGGATTTGATCAGCCACCCTTGGTTCGGCGAGGAGGAGGGAGTGACGCGGAAGAAGGCGGCACGTGAGAGGAACGCGTTTCCTTGTTGGGAGGCATTTTCAGTTGGGTCGAGGAGTTTGAGCTCGATGAGAGGTCGGCTCCGGAAAGGATTGTCGGAAGCGGAGGAGCGCCAAGAACGGCAGACGCTACGGAAACTTTTGAGTTCGATGACGGAGAACAAACAGACGGCGATCATTCCGAGGAGTTCCCTCGGTAACTTTGACCAATCAACCATTTTCTCTCTTACGTTTGTACACATAGTGATAGAGTTACGTAACTAAGAAGGTATTGGGATATACGTTGGATGTTTTTCTGTCCAAGAACTAAGAAGGTATTGATATATATTTTACACGCTCCAATTTGAAATGGAAAAATATTTTTGGATAAGATTTCCTATATTTTTATAGATTAGTTTAGGGGATATCTTAGCTTCTACATATCTTGTAGATTAGTAGACTCTATCTCTACTTTGTAATATGCATTTATATATAGCATATCTTTTCCATGAATGATAACGATATCTTTCTAGTTTAGTTAAAAATATTCTAAATATTTTTAGTACCAATTTTATTATTTAGAATTATTTATTTACTGTATAAGTTTTTTTCTAAAATTTTGAATTTTATGATAATTTAACTGTTTAAATTGTATTTACTTTTTTGGTTATTCAATAGAATTGACCTTTTGTCTTTTCTATTTGTTCCAAGATAAAACCAAATTTTGCTACTAGTAATTGAAAAATAATAATACAAAAAAACAGCCTATCACAAACATATCGTTTCTGCGAGTAGATAAAATATTGGACAGAAGATATAAAATCTAATGAAAAATGGTTTGTAGTTGTAGTAGATGAAAATTTTAATCTTTTCAATTTTTAAATGATTTTTTTCTTATAGAGAAACAAAACCTTTGAATAGAGAAATTCGTAAAGAAATATATGTATTTGAAAGATGATCTAACATATATTAAACATGAAGCATTATATGCTTAGGTGTCATTATCTCCTTTTTTCTAATATTTTTTTATTAATATATTTTTGTGTGCTATCCTTATTACCAAACACTTTATTTTAAATTATTTAAATTAAACCAAATTTCAATCAAACCGATCATAAATAATTCGATAATTTTATTGGTTTAATAAATTAAATTAGTTACCTATTTTATTAATAGAAATGAAAATTATTTCTATTTTTTAGATCTACGAGTATTTATTATTTTGCAACTTTTTTGATTTAGATATTATACAAATGGAAAAGAATACTATTTTTGAAAATCTCAGACGAAAGTAAATATAAATATTGCTTTGTACAAATTTAAATTAAAAATGAAAAAATAATTAAATTATTTTTTACTGTATAAGTTTTTTTCTAAAATTTTGGAATTTATTATTATTTAACTGTTTAAATTGTATTTATTTTTTGGTTATTCAATAGAATTAAGCTTTTATCTTTTCTGTTTGTTTCAAGATAAAACCAAATTTTGCTACTAGTAATTGAAAAATAATCTATACTAAATGAAAGAAGGAGTTTGGGGCTTTTTAAGCTATTCACCTCAGCTTTTTATGTTATTCTCTCCTTTTGCCACATCAGCAAAATAACAATAATAAAATACTCTTACAAAATATGTTTTGAAATATATATAAACTAAATAAATAGAACCACTAAAATTAATATAGTTATTAAAAAAACTAAATAAAATTAAAAAATTTATTTTTGAATCAAAATATCATTTTTTGAATCAGTAAAATAAACATCATTTAAATCTAAAAATTTAATATATTCTCTTTTTGTTTGTCATATAACGAATATTTTAGAAAATAATTTGTACAAAAAAACTTAAATAATAGCTAACAGAAACAAGGTTACAAAAAATGAAAGGAAGAGTTTGAGATTCTTAAAGCTATCCAACTCATTTTTTTTTAATTTACTCTCTCTCTTTTTACCACATCATCAAAAAAACGATAATAAAATACTCTTACAAAATATTTTTTGAAATATATATAAAATAAATAAATAGAACCACTAAAATTAATATAGTTATTAACATAAACTAAATAAAATTAAAATATTATTTTTGAATCAAAATATCTTTTTTTAAATCAGTAAAATAAACATCATTTAAATCTAAAAATTTAATATATCCTCTTTTTGTTTGTAATATAATGAATATTTTAGAAAATAATTTGCACCAAAAAAAACTTAAATAATAGCTAACAGAAAAAGGTTACAAAAAATAAAAGAAAAAGTTTGAGACTCTTTAAGCTATCCATCTCAATTTGTTTATTTACTCTCTCTTTTTTATCACATCATCAAAAAAAAAATGATAATAAAAAACTCTCACTTTAGATTTTTTAAAATAAAAATAAAATAAATAAATATAACTACTAAAATTAATATAGTTATGAACAAAAACAAAATCAAATTAAAATATCATTTTTAATCAGTAAAATAAATATCAATTAAATCTACAGCTTTAATATATTCACCTTTTGTTTGTAATATAATAAATATTTTGGAAAACGAATGGCAAAAAAAGGTTAAATAATAGTTAATAGAAATAAGATTAAAAATAGTAATTTCTATAAAATATTTAAAATATTTGCAATTTAGAAAAATCTAAAACATTCATCTTTTAGAAGCATACAGAGTTTATACATAACAAATAATTTTTTTTTTGAAATTAACATAACTGTATTGTACATATGTGGATACAAAATTGTCTATTATTTATACAAAGATAAACTTATAAGACTTTATTAAAATATTACTTATTACAAAAAATATATGCAATACATTTACAGAAAAAATAGATGAGCATAACTATATATTAAACATTAATATATTGATTTTTAATAATTAAAAATAGTATATACTTTTTTATATGAAAGAAAATGTCATAAAAACATCCATAACAATCCACATCAACGAAAAAAAAATTCTTACAAACTCAATATGTAAGGAAAACTAATATAACTTTTTTTTGGTTAAAAAATCTTTTAAAAACCTAATATAAATTATTAATTTAATTATAAAGACTCATCAAAATATATGTATAGTGTAAAAAAAATATCTAAGTTAAATTACAAGTCAAATATTAATGAAATTTTAACACTTTTTGAGTTTTGAGAAACCTAACATACTTTGTTTAATGTAATGAGTTTGTATGAAGTTGTATTTGTATATGTATTACTTAAATCCACATCAACAAAAGAGAAATTCCTTACAAACTCAACATGTAAGAAAAATTAACATGGTTTTTTTTTCTGGGGCTAAGAAACTCTTTTCAAAATAATATAATACATTATTAATTTAATTATAAAGGCTCATAAAAATATATGTGTAGTATAAGAAAAATATCAAAGTTAAATTATAAATTAAATTCAAATGAACCTTCTACACATTTTGAGTTTTGAGAAACTCAACGTATCTTTTTTAATATAATGAGTTAGTATGAAGTTATATTTGGGTATGTATTATCTGCTTTATTCATCTATACTTCTATAGTTTACAGATACTTCAAGGACCAAATCAAAATTGCAGTTTATCAATATGATTTTGATTTTGTATACTATGTAAATGTTGTTTTTATTTATACAAACAATAGTTCTTTTACGGATTTGTAAGAGTTTTGAATATCGATTGTTGTGTTTGTATTTGAGACTGCTAATGAAAAAAAAAACACTACACAAACAAAAATAAAATAAAAATAAATTCAAATTAATTGGAACAATAATCAGGTATTTCAATTGTAGTCATATGTTTGACAACTTATTTTTTTATATTTAAAATCAAAAAATCGTTTTAAATTAAATTAACAGAAAACTTATAGTTGTTGAGTTTAATTATCAAATTTAGTTAATACAAAATAAGTTTATTAATATTTTGAAAGTTAATGAACAACAATGGTTATTGAAAGTAACTTGATAGTTAATTTTTACATACATCAAGTTAGTCAATTGTTAAATTGAATCATAATATTTGTTTTGAATGTTAAAAAAATTTCGACGTATAACCACATCAAAATGATATTGAAAAACAATATTTATTAATTTAAAACTAAAATAATTTAACTTAAATAATAATCAAATATTTATAAAAATACGTAGCGCGGAAACATCCCTAGTAATAAAAAAACAGCCTGTCACAAGCACAACGTGGCTGAGAGTGGATAAAAAATGGACAGAAGATAAAAACTTTTAATGAAAAAATGGTTTGTAGTTGTAGTAGATGAAGATTTTAACCTTTTCAGCTTTTTAAAGATTTTGTTCTTATAGAGAAACAAAATGAAACCGTTGAATAGAGAAATTCGTAAAGATTATATGTATTTAAAAGATGAATTATGTGAAGAATCTCTCAACTCCATGGAAACAAAATCAATGCAGAGCATTTGGTTTGAATCAAAAATTAGTGAAATTAATGACATGACATCTTCATGAAAAAAAAAATATTTTTGAAAGTTATGATGATGTTGGCTGCACTATTTTAACAAAAAAATTTAATTAAAGCATCAAACTTATTTTAGAATATTAATATTAACAATGAATTTTGTTTCCAGCTAGTTGAGTAATATTAATATTTGGGCAAATTTTAATCGGTTCTTATTTAGAATAACTTTTCGGATCAATGTTTAAAGACATCACCTAAAATATATCAGTTTCGGTAGAACAAAGAGATATTCTGAGAATAACAATTGTATTGACAGTAACATAGTCGATTCACAGACGCATACTTATCAAAGCTACAAAAGCCACATAAACATAAAAGCAGTGATCGTACTCCATTGAATGAAAAAAGTGTATTGCTGATTTTGTCCTTGGACTTTCCTTTGATCAAACTCAAAGCCTTCTCGGCATCATCTTTGGCAAGGAATCGCTGAAGATCTTTCAAATCAATGAACCTGAAAACAGAATTTGGAAAATTATTCTATTACTCCTCCACAATTTATTGGTGGATAATTGAGTTTCATTAACGGTACAAAGAGAAAGAAACACAATGTTTTACTTGTAGTATCTGTTTGTTTTCTGTATATAAATCAACTTTTTTATGATGTAAATGATAAATTTCAGATGAATAGAAGTTCAAATTTGACCGGAAAATGCACGAAAATCAAATGGTATATATAAATCAGACAACATTTTCTATTTTGCCTATCAACAAATTAAACTCATGAAAACAGATCTTGAAAGAAATCATGAATCAATGGTAGATATTGATGTGCTAAAGAAATCACAGAGAATCAGATTGTAGAGAGGATAAACAACAAACCCATGATGCAGCTGCATGAGAAATCTCCTCTATTTCTAAGAGGTTTCAAAATCACAGAAAATCGTGAACCTTAGATTTTGCTTTTTTTTTTTTTGGTCACGACCACCGACTCCATTTTTGGCTACGATTCTTTTTTGGTCACCCAAACACTACCATTTATGGGTAGTTTTTTCTTTGACATTAGAACAGACGGTAGATCATGAACACCTAAACATGGTAAGAAACCGTGAAAATCAAATAACTTCATTAATTTTTGTTTTATGGTTATGTTGCTCTTAATTAAGATTATGCAGATAAAATGTCATTTTGCCGCAAAAGTCTCTTTGTCGCAACACTTAATGAATAATAATAAAATCATGTCTACAAAGTCAAAGCCAAGATTTGCACTAAATGCAACTCATGAACTGCTGTTCAAACAAAATTCTCTTCAAGGTTTTCTGTAGAGGTATAGTACAGGTTGTGGCTTTTTTAGATTTGCAAGCATCCACTATTTCAGTAACACTACCATAAGAGATAATGTTTTCTTATATAATTGAAAAAACTGAGTGTTCACTTTTTTCTAGTGCAAATAGCAACTTTGGTTAGGGAAAATGTTATTGAGAGATTATAGATGCTTCTATACTCTTGACACCTCAACAATTGGAGATATATATATAGCCACTTTGTCTTCCTTTCCCCAGATGTGATTGGGCATTCGTTGATCCCAAAACTCTTGTTGAAACGGGCAAGAAGTTCTGCATCTGTGTGAAAGAAGTGCTTCCATGGGTGATGCTTCCTCTGCAAGTGGTTTATGTCGACGAAAGCCGGAAATCTAGAAAAGGTCCCGCGCATTTCGGCTACGGGAGCGGCACTCTTGAGGGACATTTACTAGCAAGAGAAGAACGGTTTTCAATAGAGCTTGACGGAGATGGTAAAGTATGGTATGAGACACGTCCTTGTCAAAGCCGGCTCATTTCTTGTCCTTCCTCGGATACCCTTATGTGAAGCTAAGGCAGAAACACTTTGCTCATCATTCTTCTGATGCTGTCCTCAAACATCTCAACGATCCTCAAACATCTCAACGATTCATCATGACACCGATAAATGAATGAGTGAAAGACATTTCATTTTGATTTACAATATTAAACATTTGCATCTTCTTTGTAAGGTTTATCTATTCGTATGAATGGTACTATTTATATTAGCTCTAAATTGATTTGCGATTACTAATAATACTACACTAATTTGAAATAATTTAGACACAATAGAATTAAAGTTATTTACCGAAATTTGAATTTGAAATGAGGATGTATAAATGAAAACAATGCACTGCAAAACAAAATATATGGAGTTGAAAAAAAGATAAGTGCAAAAAGATGAATTATGCTAAAAGTTATTATAATAAGACAAAATATGAATGGTAATTGTAGAATTCGACGGATTTTTTATAGAATATCTAATAATATAAATAGTAATAGAAGAATTATAAAATATTTAATAAATAATTGAAAATATAAATTAAGTGAATATATATGTAAAAAATTAAAATCATTTTGATATTAATATATTAAACTAAAAATAAAAAATAACTAGAATCAAACCGAAAATGAAATATTTAGACTTATTATAAAACAAATAAAATTAAAATTATAAATTAATTATATTAATTATGTTCAGATTAAAATAACTAAAATATCCAAAACTCTATAGTTATATTTGTCAAAATAATTAACTTAAATACTCAAACTATAAAATTTATTTTAGATATTTTGCATATATTTTGGATAGTTAATTTTGGATAATTCGAATAAACGAAACTAATTAAAACCTAGACGGAATCAAACCAAACCCAATCTGAAAAAAAAAAACCTAAAAAGATCTTATATCCTAATACTGAAATACTCAAAACCTAAAAAAAACTGCTCTTAAATTTTTCTTACTGCAGTTACTATTAAAATATATTTTGAAATTAATATTTTATTCATATTCTTTCTATTATTATTATTATGCAATCTATTATATGTTTTATCATATTTAAAATCAAATTTGAACATAGATAAGAAAAAATGGTTTAATACTTATCAATATGCAATTGTGAATTATCATTTAAAATTTTTCAGCCTGCTAAAAAAAAAACCCTAACTAAATTCAGCTAATGCAACTAGCAAATGCATTTTGTTTTCAGCTGAAATTCCACCCAATTCAGCTAACTCGGATACCATTTAAGGCACTTCCATCGATATTTTTTAAAAACAATATCTTATGAATAAAAAATGAAAAAAAGAAAAAAAGAAAACAAAATCAGATATGTTTCTCATCTGAAAACTTACGGCTGTTAACTTATAATTGTCTCACTTCTTCTATATTTTAAATTATAATTAAATAAATAATTTATATTAATAATAATAAGAGAAATAATGTAAATTATTATCATCGATGGAGCTGCTATAATAGCATCCCCATCTAGGCATCATGTTGATGGAGTCTCATTTGCACGAGTTTTATGTGGTGGTAATGATCCTAATGGAGGATATATTCGTTTTGAAATTTCTCGAACTATACAGTTTTAAGAAGATTATGAGTTTTTGAATAAAATCGGAGACAACATCCCCTAATATATACCAATAAAAAAAGTATTCCCATCAAGCATCCTATCAATAGCATATATTATCGATGAAATTGCTATAATAGCTTCTCTATCAAAGAGTTCTCAAAGAGTATTTTAACATAAAATTAGTATTAAAAAATAAAAAGTACAAGATATATATGAAATAAATATATCATTTGAGAAACTTTGAGATACCTTTAAAACCTATTCATGCCACATGTTTCATCTTTATTAGCTTTTTTCTTAGCAAACCAAAATTTGACCACACAATTAATTATATTAATAAAATACTTTTCCGTTCCACAAAATTTGATTTTTTAGGTTTTCTCTTTGTTCCACAAAAATTGATACTTTAGATTATTCAATATCTTATTTTTGTAGACTTCAAAAAAGTAACTAAAATTATTTGAAAAATCCTAAATTGCTATTGGTTAACACTTACTAAAAAGTAATGATAGTAATGCATTAATAATAAAAAAATAATATTTTCTTAATTTATGTGAATGAGTCAAAGATATCAACCTTTTAGGAATAGAGGAAGTAATATATTTTCTTTTGAGAACTCCAATGAGGTTTTGAGAGCATCTCCATCCATGAGATACCTATAAAATATTTAAAAAAAAAAAAATCATTATGTTAACATAATTATATTTTGCAATTAAATCTTAATGTTTAAACTTTTTGTGTACCAATAGATAGACAATGATGATTTGGAGTTCTCATGGATATTTCAAAAATTCCCATTTGAGAATCTCTCTTCATTCTCTTTCTCTCTTCTTTTTTTATTTTTTTTTATTCACTAGATATTTTTATGAGATACTTAGACCATCCTCATCAGTGAAAATGTTAAAAAAGGTGTTCTTAACTATATTTTAATATAACTTATTATGTAAAATTAAATTTTAATATTTTAAAAAATAGAACCAGTTAAAATAGGATAAGTGGGTTTATAGTATCTTAGTTTTGTTAGAAACATTTCTTAAATTGCTTAAATAATAGTCGTATCTAACTTTCTCTCTTTTTTTCTCACAGTTTTAATTATTATTTTTTTTAAATTTTGATAGTCAGTTTAAATATCCTGATGTGAATGCTTTGATGGGGAATGCTTTTAAAAATAAGAACCTGTTTGCATATCATGTGATACCCTTAACGGTAAAAGACATTGATTGAATTTGCTTTTATTAATAGATAAAAAACCAGCTTTGACCTAAAAACTAAAACAAAATTTAGAATAAGCTAGAAAAAACATTTCGATTTGAATTCGCTTTGTCAGTAAAGATGAAAAGGTAAACTTTTTATTCAGATAAATGGTATTCTTAATCCAAGAAAACAACTTTCACCTAAACAAGATTCAGAAAAATCTAGAAACAAACTTTTGGATTTGATTTCGCTTTGTCCATAAAAATGAAAGATAAACTTTTTATTAAGATGATTTGGTACTCCTAATATAAAAGAAAACAACTTTGAGCTAAACAAGATTCAAAAAAATCTAGGAACAAACATTTGGATTTGAATTCGCTTGATTTATGAAGATGAAAGGTAGGCTTTTTATTCATATGAATGGTATTTTTTTTTATAAAAGAAAACAGATTTAAGCTAAACAAAATTCAGAAAAATCTAGAAACAAACATTTAGATTTGAATTAGCATTGTCTATAAAGATGAAATGTAAGTTTTTTATTTAGATAAATGGACCTCTTCATATAAAAGAAAATATATTTGAGCTAAACAAGATTCAGAAAAATTTAGGAACAAACATTTGGATCTGATTTCGCTTTGTTTATGAATATGAAAGGTAAGCTTTCTATTAAGATAAATGGTATAATTAATATAAAAAGAAAACAGCTTTGAGCTAAACAAGATTTAGAAAAATCTAGGAATTCAAACATTTGGATTTGATTTTGCTTTGTTTTTAAAGATGAAAGGTATGGATTTTATTCAAATGAATGATATCATTAAAATGAATGATATTTTTAATATAAGAGAAACTAGCTTTGAACTAAATCAAGATTCAGAAAAAGCTTGGAGCAAACATTTTGAAACAGTTCTGCTCGGTACTGGTGGCCCTTGTGATACTAGCATCTTCAAGTTTGAACACCCTGATCTTACATTCCTTGTCAGCGAAGTAGATTGCATTTTTTAAACATCCATGGAACTCACCGGCCGAAACCGAGAAACAAGTATCGGTAGCCATCACAAAGGCGTCGTCTCCCAATGACTTAACCTCAACCCATTTCCCCATTTCCTCATCCATCTTGTAAACCTTGAAACCGATCGTTTTGGGAGATGTTTCGCCTATCTGGTTCCCATCATCGTCGATAGCACAAACATAAAAAACATTAGGATCCAAGGTATCACCCTCGTATCTCCACCATGTTGCACGAAGCTTAAGTTTCTGCAATCGCTACCAGTGATGCTTTCATCTATTGGTGGTCCGTACTTGAAGATGGAAAGAGAGGAGCTTATCCACCAAACTGACCCATCCGAAGCCAAGGCGTAAGTTAGCCCTCCGTGGATTACAACGTCGGTGAACTCAGCAAGCTGGTCTTTGAGTATGGTCCAGATTCGACCACTCCAAAACCTGATCCTCCCGTCCCAGCCGACTCCCAAAGCATGATCTCCTCCTTGGACGGTGGCAAGAACCACTCTTTTGAATCCGGGATCTGGTTCGTCCATGCGCCTGTCGTGAACCACGTAGGCTTCTTGAATCTCGGAGACATTGAAACGCAAGAGATTGATGCTCTTGCACCTGTGTTTCAAAGGGATGCGCGAGAAATGGTCGAGAAGACGAAATTTCCCCGAGTTGAGATCGGTGTCGGATTTGATCAGCCACCCTTGGTTCGGCGAGGAGGAGGGAGTGACGCGGAAGAAGGCGGCACCTGAGAGGAACGCGTTTCCTTGTTGGGAGGCATTTTCAGTTGGGTCGAGGAGTTTGAGCTCGATGAGAGGTCGGCTCCGGAAAGGATTGTCGAAAGCGGAGGAGCGCCAAGAACGGCAGACGCTACGGAAACTTTTGAGTTCGATGACGGAGAACAAACAGACGGCGATCATTCCGAGGAGTTCCCTCGGTAACTTTGACCAATCAACCATTTTCTCTCTTACGTTTGTACACATAGTGATAGAGTTACGTAACTAAGAAGGTATTGGGATATACGTTGGATGTTTTTCTGTCCAAGAACTAAGAAGGTATTGATATATATTTTACACGCTCCAACTTGAAATGGAAAAATATTTTTGGATAAGATTTCCTATATTTTTATAGATTAGTTTAGGGGATATCTTAGCTTCTACATATCTTGTAGATTAGTAGACTCTATCTCTACTTTGTAATATGCATTTATATATAGCATATCTTTTCCATGAATGATAACGATATCTTTCTAGTTTAGTTAAAAATATTCTAAATATTTTTAGTACCAATTTTATTATTTAGAATTATTTATTTACTGTATAAGTTTTTTTCTAAAATTTTGAATTTTATTATAATTTAACTGTTTAAATTGTATTTACTTTTTGGTTATTCAATAGAATTGACCTTTTGTCTTTTCTATTTGTTCCAAGATAAAACTAAATTTTGCTACTAGTAATTGAAAAATAATAATACAAAAAAACAGCCTATCACAAACATATCGTTTCTGCGAGTGGATAAAATATTGGACAGAAGATATAAAATCTAATGAAAAATGGTTTGTAGTTGTAGTAGATGAAAATTTTAATCTTTTCGGTTTTTAAATGATTTTTTTCTTATAGAGAAACAAAACCGTTGAATAGAGAAATTCGTAAAGAAATATATGTATTTGAAAGATGATCTAACATATATTAAACATGAAGCATTATAGGCTTAGGTGTCATTATCTCCTTTTTTCTAATATTTTTTTATTAATATATTTTTGTGTGCTATCCTTATTACCAAACATTTTATTTTAAATCATTTAAATTAAACCGAATTTCAATCGAACCGATCATAAATAATTCGATAATTTTATTGGTTTAATAAATTAAATTAGTTACCTATTTTATTAATAGAAATGAAAATTATTTTCATCTTTTAGATCTACGAGTATTTATTATTTTGCAACTTTTTTGATTTAGATATTATACAAATGGAAAAGAATACTATTTTTGAAAATCTCAGACGAAAGTAAATATAAATATTGCTTTGTATAAATTTAAATTAAAAATGAAAAAATAACTAAATTATTTTTTACTGTATAAGTTTTTTTCTAAAATTTTGGAATTTATTATTATTTAACTGTTTAAATTGTATTTATTTTTTGGTTATTCAATAGAATTAAGCTTTTATCTTTTCTGTTTGTTTCAAGATAAAACCAAATTTTGCTACTAGTAATTGAAAAATAATCTATACTAAATGAAAGAAGGAGTTTGGGGCTTTTTAAGCTATTCACCTCAGCTTTTTATGTTAGTCTCTCCTTTTGCCACATCTGCAAAATAACAATAATAAAATACTCTTACAAAATATTTTTTGAAATATATATAAACTAAATAAATAGAACCACTAAAATTAATATAGTTATTAAAAAAACTAAATAAAATTAAAATTTATTTTTGAATCAAAATATCATTTTTAGAATCAGTAAAATAAACATCATTTAAATCTAAAAATTTAATATATTCTCTTTTTGTTTGTCATATAATGAATATTTTAGAAAATAATTTGTACAAAAAAACTTAAATAATAGCTAACAGAAACAAAGTTACAAAAAATGAAAGGAAGAGTTTGAGACTCTTAAAGCTATCCAACTCATTTTTTTTAATTTACTCTCTCTCTTTTTACCACATCATCAAAAAAACGATAATAAAATGCTCTTACAAAATATTTTTTGAAATATATATAAACTAAATAAATAGAACCACTAAAATTAATATAGTTATTAAAAAAACTAAATAAAATTAAAATTTATTTTTGAATCAAAATATCATTTTTCGAATCAGTAAAATAAACACCATTTAAATCTAAAAATTTAATATATCCTCTTTTTGTTTGTAATATAATGAATATTTTAGAAAATAATTTGCACCAAAAAAAACTTAAATAATAGCTAACAGAAAAAGGTTACAAAAAATGAAAGAAAGAGTTTGAGACTCTTTAAGCTATCCAACTCAATTGTTTTATTTACTCTCTCTTTTTTTACCACATCATCAAAAAAAAAAATGATAATAAAAAACTCTCACTTTAGATTTTTTAAAATAAAAATAAAATAAATAAATATAACTACTAAAATTAATATAGTTATGAACAAAAACAAAATCAAATTAAAATATAATTTTTAATCAGTAAAATAAATATCAATTAAATCTACAGCTTTAATATATTCACCTTTTGTTTGTAATATAATAAATATTTTGGAAAACGAATGGCAAAAAAAGGTTAAATAATAGTTAATAGAAATAAGATTAAAAATAGTAATTTCTATAAAAAATTTAAAATATTTGCAATTTAGAAAAATCTAAAACATTCATCTTTTAGAAGCATACAGAGTTTATACATAACAAATAATTTTTTTTTTGAAATTAACATAACTGTATTGTACATATGTGGATACTAAATTGTCTATTATTTATACAAAGATAAACTTATAAGACTTTATTAAAATATTACTTATTACAAAAAATATATGCAATACATTTACAGAAAAAATAGATGAGCATAACTATATATTAAACATTAATATATTGATTTTTAATAATTAAAAATAGTATATACTTTTTTATGTGAAAGAAAATGTCATAAAAACATCCATAACAATCCACATCAACGAAAAAAAAATTCTTACAAACTCAATATGTAAGGAAAACTAATATAACTTTTTTTTGGTTAAAAAATCTTTTAAAAACATAATATAAATTATTAATTTAATTATAAAAACTCATCAAAATATATGTATAGTGTAAAAAAATATCTAAGTTAAATTACAAGTCAAATATTAATGAAATTTTAACACTTTTTGAGTTTTGAGAAACCTAACATACTTTGTTTAATGTAATGAGTTTGTATGAAGTTGTATTTGTATATGTATTACTTAAATCCACATCAACAAAAGAGAAATTCCTTACAAACTCAACATGTAAGAAAAATTAACATGGTTTTTTTTTCTGGGGCTAAGAAACTCTTTTCAAAATAATATAATACATTATTAATTTAATTATAAAGGCTCATAAAAATATATGTGTAGTATAAGAAAAATATCAAAGTTAAATTATAAATTAAATTCAAATGAACCTTCTACACATTTTGAGTTTTGAGAAACTCAACGTATCTTTTTTAATATAATGAGTTAGTATGAAGTTATATTTGGGTATGTATTATTTGCTTTATTCATCTATACTTCTATAGTTTACAGATACTTCAAGGACCAAATCAAAATTGCAGTTTATCAATATGATTTTGATTTTGTATACTATGTAAATGTTGTTTTTATTTATACAAACAATAGTTCTTTTACGGATTTGTAAGAGTTTTGAATATCGATTGTTGTGTTTGTATTTGAGACTGCTAATGAAAACAAAACACTACACAAACAAAAATAAAATAAAAATAAATTCAAATTAATTGGAACAATAATCAGGTATTTCAGTTGTAGTCATATGTTTGACAACTTATTTTTTTATATTTAAAATCAATAAATCATTTTAAATTAAATTAACAGAAAACTTATAATTGTTGAGTTCAATTATCAAATTTAGTTAATACAAAATAAGTTTATTAATATTTTGAAAGTTAATGAACAACAATGGTTATTGAAAGTAACTTGATAGTTAATTTTTACATACATCAAGTTAGTCAATTTTTAAATTGAATCATAATATTTTTTTTGAATGTTAAAAAAATTTCGACGTATAACCACATCAAAATGATATTGAAAAACAATATTTATTAATTTAAAACTAAAATAATTTAACTTAAATAGTAATCAGATATTTATAAAAACGCGTAGCGCGGAAACATCCCTAGTAATACAAAACACAGCCTGTCACAAGCACAAAGTGGCTGAGAGTGGATAAAAAAATGGACAGAAGATAAAAAATTTTAATGAAAAAAATAGTTTGTAGTTGTAGTAGATGAAAATTTTAACCTTTTCAGCTTTTTAAAGATTTTGTTCTTATAGAGAAACAAAATGAAACCGTTGAATAGAGAAATTCGTAAAGATTATATGTATTTAAAAGATGAATTATGTGAAGAATCTCTCAACTCCATGGAAACAAAATCAATGCAGAGCATTTGGTTTGAATCAAAAATTAGTGAAATTAATTACATGACATTTTCATGAAAAAAAAAAATATTTTTGAAAGTTATGATGATGTTGGCTGCACTATTTTTAAAAAAAACTTTTAATTAAAGCATCAAACCTATTTTAGAATATTAATATTAACAATGAATTTTGTTTCCAGCTAGTTGAGTAATATTAATATTTGGGCAAATTTTAATCGATTCTTATTTAGAATAACTTTTCGGATCAATGTTTAAAGACATCACCTAAAATATATCAGTTTCGGTAGAACAAAGAGATATTCTGAGAATAACAATTGTATTGACAGTAACATAGTCGATTCACAGACGCATACTTATCAAAGCTACAAAAGCCACATAAACATAAAAGCAGTGATCGTACTCCATTGAATGAAAAAAGTGTATTGCTGATTTTGTCCTTGGACTTTCCTTTGATCAAGCTCAAAGCCTTCTCGGCATCATCTTTGGCAAGGAATCGCCGAAGATCCTTCAAATCAATGAACCTGAAAACAGAATTTGGAAGATTATTCTATTACTCCTCCACAATTTATTGGTGGATAATTGAGTTTCATTAACGGTACAAAGAGAAAGAAACACAATGTTTTACTTGTAGTATCTGTTTGTTTTCTGTATATAAATCAACTTTTTTCATGATGTAAATGATAAATTTCAGATGAATAGAAGTTCAAATTTGACCGGAGAATGGTAGATATTGATGTGCTAAAGAAATCACAGAGAATCAGATTGTAGAGGGGATAAACAACAAACCCATGATGCAGCTGCATGAGAAATCTCCTCTATTTCCAAAAGGTTTCGAAATCACAGAAAATCGTGAACCTTAGATTTTGCTTTTTTTTTGGTCACGACCACCACCTCCATTTTTGGTTACGATTCTTTTTTGGTCACCCAAACACTACCATTTATGGGTAGTTTTTTCTTTGACATTAGAACAGACGGTAGATCATGAACACCTAAACATGGTAAGAAACCGTGAAAATCAAATAACTTCTTTAATTTTTGTTTTATGGTTAGGTTACTCTTAATTAAGATTATGCAGATAAAATGTCATTTTGCCGCAAAAGTCTCTTTGCCGCAACACTTAATGAATAATAATAAAATCATGTCTACAAAGTCAAAACCAAGATTTGCACTAAATGCAACTCATGAACTGCTGTTCAAACAAAATTCTCTTCAAGGTTTTTTGCAGAGGTATAGTACAGGTTGTGGCTTTTTTAGATTTGCAAGCATCCACTATTTCAGTAACACTACCATAAGAGATAATGTTTTCTTATATAATTGAAAAAACTGAGTGTTCACTTTTTTCTAGTGTAAATAGCAACTTTGGTTAGGGAAAATGTTATTGAGAGATTATAGATGCTTCTATACTCTTGACACCTCAACACTTGGAGATATATATATATAGCCACTTTGTCTTCCTTTCCCCAGATGTGATTGGGCATTCGTTGATCCCAAAACTCTTGTTGAAACCGGCAAGAAGTTCTGCATCTGTGTGAAAGAAGTGCTTCCATGGGTGATGCTTCCTCTGCAAGTGGTTTATGTCGACGAAAGCCGGAAATCTAGAAAAGGTCCCGCGCATTTCGGCTACGGGAGCGGCACACTTGAGGGACATTTACTAGCCAGAGAAGAACGGTTTTCAGTAGAGCTTGACGGAGATGGTAAAGTATGGTATGAGACACGTCCTTGTCAAAGCCGGCTCATTTCTTGTCCTTCCTCGGATACCCTTATGTGAAGCTAAGGCAGAAACAGTTTGCTCATCATTCTTCTGATGCTGTCCTCAAACATCTCATCGATCCTCAAACATCTCAACGATTCATCATGACACCGATAAATGAATGAGTGAAAGACATTTCATTTTGATTTACAATATTAAAGATTTGCATCTTCTTTGTAAGGTTTATCTATTCGGATGAATGGTACTATTTATATTAACTCTAAATTGATTTGCGATTACTAATAATACTACACTAATTTGAAATAATTTAGACACAGTAGGATTAAAGTTATTTACCAAAATTTGAATTTGAAATGAGGATGTATAAATGAAAACAATGCACTGCAAAACAAAATATATGGAGTTGTAAAAAAGATAAGTGCAAAAAGATGAATTATGCTAAAAGTTATTATAATAAGACAAAATATGAATGGTAATTGTAGAATTCGACGGATTTTTTTATAGAATATCTAATAATGTAAATAGTAATAGAAGAATTATAAAATATTCAAAAAATTATTGAAAATATAAATTAAGTGAATATATATGTAAAAAATTAAAATCATTTTAATATGAATATATTAAACTAAAAATAAAAAATAACTAGAATCAAACCGAAAACGAAATATTTAGATTTATTATAAAAAAATAAAATTACAATTATAAATTAATTATATTAATTATGTTCAGATTAAAATAACTAAAATATCCAAAACTCTATAGTTATATTTGTCAAAATAATTAACTTAAATACCCAAACTATAAAATTTATTTTGGATATTTTGCATATATTTTGGATAGTTAATTTTGGATAATTCGAATAAACGAAACTAATTAGAACCAAGACGGAATCAAACCAAACTCAACCTGAAAAACAAATACCTAAAAAGATCATATATCCTAATACTGAAATACTTTAAACCTAAAAAAAAACTGCTCTTAAATTTTTCTTACTGCAGTTACTATTAAAATATATTTTGAAATTAATATTTTATTCATATTCTTTCTATTATTATTATTATGCAATCTATTATCTGTTTTATCATATTTAAAATCAAATTTGAACATAGATAAGAAAAATTGGTTTAATACTTATCAATATGCAATTGCGAATTATCATTTAAAATTTTTCAGCCTGCTAAAAAAAAAAAACCCTAACTAAATTCAGCTAATGCAACTAGCAAATGCATTTTGTTTTCAGCTGAAATTCAACCCAATTCAGCTAACTCGGATACCATTTAAGGCACTTCCATCGATATTTTTTAAAAACAATATCTTATGAATAAAAAATGAAAAAAGAGAAAAAAGAAAGAAAAATCAGATATGTTTCTCATCTGAAAACTTACGGCTGTTAACTTATAATTATCTCACTTCTTCTATATTTTAAATTATAATTAAATAAATAATTTATATTAATAATAATAAGAGAAATAATGTAAATTATTATCATCGATGGAGCTGCTATAATAACATCCCCATCTAGGCATCATGTTGATGGAGTCTCCTCTGGACGAGTTTTATGTGGTGGTAATGATCCTAATGGAGGATATATTCGATTTGAAATTTCTCGAACTATACAGTTTTAAGAAGATTATGAGTTTTTGAATAAAATCGGAGACAACATCCCCTAATTTATACCAATAAAAAAAGCATTCCCATCAAACATCCTATCAATATCATATATTATCGATGAGATTGCTATAATAGCTTCTCTATCAAAGAGTTCTCAAAGAGTATTTTAACATAAAATTAGTATTAAAAAATAAAAAGTACAAGATATATATGAAATAAATATATCATTAAAAAAACTTTGAGATACCTTTAAAACATATTCATGCCATATGTTTCATCTTTATTAGTTTTTTTCTTAGCAAACCAAAATTTGACCACACAATTAATTATATTAAGAAAATATTTTTCGATTCCACAAAATTTGATTTTTTAGGGTTTCTCTTTGTTCCACAAAAATTAATATTTTAGATTATTCAATATCTTTTTTTTGTAGACTTCAAAAAAGTAACTAAAAATATTTGAAAGATCGTAAATTGCTATTGATTAACAATTACAAAATAATGATTGCAAAAAATAATGCATTAATAACAAAAAATAATAATATTTTCTTAATTTATGTGAATGAGTAAAAATATCAACATTTTAGGAATAGAGGAAGTAATATAATTTTCTTTTGAGAACTCCAAAGAAGTTTGTAGAGCATCTCCATCCATGAGATACCTATAAAGTATTTAAAACAAAAAAATATCATTATTTTAATATAATTATATTTTGTCATTAAATCTTAATGTTTTAATTTTTTGTGAACCAATAGATAGACAATGATGATTTGGAGTTCTCATGGATATTTCAAAAATTCTCATTTGAGAATCTCCTAAACATTATTCAGAAAAATCTAGAAACAAACTTTTGGAATTGATTTCGCTTTGTCTATAATGATGAAAGATAAACTTTTTATTAAGATGAATTGGTATTCCTAATATAAAAGAAAACAACTTTGAGCTAAACAATATTCAGAAAAATCTAGAAACAAACATTTAGATTTGAATTCGCTTTATTTATGAAGATGAAAGATAAACTTTTTATTCATATGAATGGTATTTTTTTATAAAAGAAAACGGATTTAAGCTAAACAAAATTCAGAAAAATCTAGAAACAAACATTTAGATTTGAATTAGCATTATCTTTAGAGATGAAATGTAAGCTTTTTATTTAGATGAATGGAGCTCTTCATATAAAAGAAAACATCTTTGAGCTAAACAAGATTCTGAAAAATTTAGAAACAAACATTTAGATCTGATTTCGCTTTCTTTATGAAGATGAAAAGTAAGCGTTCTAATAAGATGAATTGTATAATTAATATAAAAAGAAAACAGCGTTGAGCTAAACAAGATTTAGAAAAATCTAGGAATTCAAACATTTGTAATTGATTTCGCTTTGATTATAAAGATGAAAGGTAGGGATTTTATTCAGATGAATGATATTATTAAGATGAATCATATTTTTAATATAAGAGAAATAAGCTTTGAACTAATCAAGATTCAGAAAAAGCTTGGGGCAAACATTTTCAAACAGTTCTGCTCTTGTGATACTAGCATCTTCAAGCTTGAAAACCCTGATCTTACATTCCTTGTCGGCGAAGTAGATTGCATTTTTAAGGCATCCGTAGAACTCACCGGCCGAAACCGAGAAACAAGTATCGGTAGCCATCACAAAGGCGTCGTCTCCCAATGATTTAACCTCAACCCATTTCCCCATTTCCTCTTCCATCTTGTAAACCTTGAAACCGATCGTTTTGGGAGATGTTTCGCCTATCTGGTTCCCATCATCGTCGATAGCACAAACATAAAAAACATTAGGATCCAAGGTATCACCCTCTTTAAGGATACGATCAACAATGTAAAGCTCTCCACCATGTTGCACGAAGCTTAAGTTTCTGCAATCGCTACCAGTGATGCTTTCATCTATTGGTGGTCCGTACTTGAAGATGGAAAGAGAGGAGCTTATCCACCAAACTGACCCATCCGAAGCCAAGGCGTAAGTTAGCCCTCCGTGGATTACAACGTCGGTGAACTCAGTAAGCTGGTCTTTGAGTATGGTCCAGATTCGACCACTCCAAAACCTAGTACTATTTTAACAAAACATTTCAAAGGAAGCAATAAATGCTAGCAAAAGACTAAAACATTTGGTAACATTAACGTTTGGGAAAATTTTAATCGATTCTTAGTAAAACAAGTTTACATGATGCTTAAAAATATGTTTAGATTGTAAATTAAAATTTTTATTATGTATTAACTGATAATTCTGTAAAAAAACCTCATTTTTCAAAGTTTTTAGGTTTTCTTTTCTTAGAAATCTTCTTTAGTTCTCATTTATAAAACAACTTTGTTTGTAGGTAAATGTCAACCCTTAATTTATTTCAAACCAGTAGTAACATATCATTACTAATTTCTAATTTTACATGGATTTTAATTTGGTAACATTAATGTTTAGATAAATTTTAACCAGTTCTTGACTTCTTGTTAAAGCAGCTCTCTACAAATTAACGCTTGAGTATAAATTTTATTCTGTTTTGGGAAACATCTATGAAAATAACAACAAATTAAAACTCTATTGAGCAATGACTGATAATTTTTCTAAAAATAATCTTGCTCATTTACCCTCTTCTGTCAGTAGAGATGTGTTTACCATTTTTTTCTAGGAGACTCTCTTCACGCAGTAAAGAAGAATTTTAATTCTAAGACCTCTCTATTAATAGGTTCGTGTCAAACTCTAATTTATTTCAAACTGATAGTGATACAATTAGTATTAGGAAAACTTCAATTGGTTCTTGTTAGAAGAGCACTACAGACGATGCTTTAATAAATAATTTATTCTATTCGAAAGAAAATGAAGAAGACTAATTAAATTAAAAAAAATAAGAAGATGAATAATATGGTAACGATGAAGAAAAACAAGAAATATATGAATACAAAGTCGAGGAAAAACTAGAAAAAGAAAACAGTAGGATTAAGTAGAAAAAACTGAATATGAATAAGACAAAGTATAAGAGTGTAGATAAAAACTGAAAAAATAAAAAGTCGGAGAAAATAAAAATAATAAAATATATATACAAGTGGATAGAAAAAGAAGAAGATGAATAAAATTAGAAAAATAAGAAGATGGATAATACAATAACAATGAAGAAAAAGAAGAAGAATATGAGTAAGAAATCGGGAAAAAGAAGAAAAAGAAAACAGTAGGATGAAGTAGAAGAAAAAAAACTGAAATATGAGTAACATAAAGTAGAAGAACGTAAACAAAAACTGTAAGAATAAGAAATCAGAGAAAATAAAGATAATAAAATATAAATGGGTATAAAAAGAAGAAGATGAAGTTGTAGTATATGAAGACGATGGAGAATGCAAAACGTGAGAGAAGGAAGAAGAAAAAAATTGAAAGATTTAGAAGAGAAAGAAGAAGAGGTAAAAAAAACGAATAAGAAGACGTAGACAAGTTTAAAAATTAATAAAAAATGGAAGAAAATAAAGAAGACAAATGATAAAGATGATGAAGAAGATGAAGTAGAAAAACATAAGAGAGTTGGAGAATAATAAAAACCGGAAGAAAAAGAAAAATAAATACAGTGGAGAATGAAGAAAATCAAAGTAGGAAAAGGATTAGACGAGAAAAAATGGCAAAGTAAAATTGTTGGGAGATTGAAGAAACTAAGAAGGAGAGGGAAGAAGAAAAACCATCAAATAACAAGAAGTAGAAATGAGATGAAAATGATAAAAAGGAAGAGAATGTGAAAAAAATAATCAAAAGATAGAGAAGAGAAAGAAGAAAATGAAGTTGGTAAAAAAAAGTTTGGAAAAAAATGAGAACGGAAAAAATACAAAGTAGAATTTTTTTTGAAAAATATAAATGAAACGAAGAAAAGGAAGAAGTAAAAGAAAATTTTAAAAAGTGAAAAAATAGAAAAAGAAGAAAAAAGTCTGAGGAGATGACGAATGTGAAGAAGATGAAGAAGAAGAAAACTGAAAGACATGAGAAAACAAATTAAGTAGGAATATATGAGTTATTATATAAGAATTGTAAAAGGAAATAAAAGAGATTATTGAATCTATTAAGGTATTTATTTGTATCGATTTAGAAATACCTCTCTTTTTGAATATTTAAATTCAATTTTTATATATATTGGATATACAAATTTGGTGTGAAAGTTAGAAAGTGTGTTATAACTGCAAATGCTAAATCTGTTAAAACAAATATAATATGATACTATATACATGTTACTGTACATATTTGTTTTTCTTCAAATGCTATTGATAGCGATTTATTCGACACACTTACAGAAAACAAAAATAAAATAAAATTAGTGTATTAATAAAAGATTAGAGTAACAACATAGAGTTAGAACAACATCAATCCGCAAAGCTATTTCAGAGATTGAAATATTTAGATAACTTTTAGATAATCGGAGATAACAAAAAAAACTTATTTCTTGAACTTTGACTTTATTCATTTATCAATATTATTAAAACCTCACATATATACAGGTTCTAATCTACTATTATATGTTTTGTATAATTAACTAGATTAGGACCCACAAATTTATAATAACAAAAAGTCAAAAATATGAATGTAAAAGAAGAGGTAGCCTAAACAATGGCTGAAAAACAAGTATATATAGGTTTAGGTACGAATTGGATGAGAAATTATCGAAAACCAAGTCGGAAAAGGAAAAATCCGCAAGTTTTCTTACTTTATGTATGACCAAACTGGTTGGTTAAGGCTTTGGATCGATCGATCTAAATCTTCTTTGGAGATTCGTGGTCTCTCGGATCGATTGATCCCTCCTGGATCAATCGATCTAAAATGTTTCGGGTAAATCTTCAATCATCGGATCAATCGATCCAACAAGAGACCGATCGATCTATGCTCCGAAAAAACCAGTTTTGCTCCTTTTTCTTTGATTCTTTATTTCGAAGGCATTAGATCCCATCCAAACATGTTTTGACCAGTAAAGACTCTAAAAATACTAAAAAGATTCGATAAAAACTTTTGAAACTTTGTTAGAAATCGGTAAAATTATAATATATCATTAAACAATATAAAAAATGCAAAAAACAAAATCAAGAACTGAAATAACTTGAACCAAACTAGAACCAAACTATTAAGACTTACTTTAAACAAAAATTACAATTATAAACTGAATATATTAATTATATTTAGATCAAAATAACTAAAATACCTAAAAAATCTATAGTTATATTTGTATAAAATTTAACCAAATAATGGAAATACCTAAAAATGTAAAATTTGTTTTGGTTATTTTTCATAAATTTTGAGTATTTAAATTTCGTATAGTTCGGATAGTAAACAAAGAATAGCAAACTAAATTCAGCTGATGTAATTGGTAATGCATTTTGTTGTCAGCTGAAATTCTTGCCAATTTAGCAATTACTCTGCTACTATATAGAAACGGTAAAAGACATTGATTGAATTTGCTTTTATTAATAGTTAAAGAAAGCAACTTTGACATAAAACGTAAAATAAAATTCAGAAAAAGCTTCTCTTTTCATTTTTATAGATAAATCGAATTCAAATATAAATGTTTTATTATTGTCATATCATGGAATTGTGGACGAGCATGGAATGGCCCAAAGATCCATAAGCTCATCATACTCTTGGGAACAAACATTTGGATTTGAATTCACTTTATCTATAAAAACAAAAAGGTAAGCTTAAAATTAATATTTTAGATTATTAAATATTTTTCTGTAGACTTCAAAAAAGTAACTAGAACTATTTGAAATCTTAAATTGCCATTGGTTAACAATTACTAAATAGTAATGATTGTAAAAATTAATGCATTGATAACAAAAAATAATATTTTCTTAATTTATGTAAATGAGTCAAAAATATCAACATTTTAAGAACGGAAGAAGTAATATTTTTTTTAGAACTCCAAAGAGGTTCTTAGAGCATCTCTATCCCATAAAGTATCTCTAATAAAAAATATCATTATTTTAACATAATTACATTTTGTAATTAAATCTTAATTGTTTAATTATTTTTTGAACCAATAGATAAGACACAAGTGTGTTTGGGATTTTCATGGGTATCTCAAAATTTCTTATTTGAGAACCTCTCTTCGTTCTTTCTCTTTATTTTTCATTTTTTATTTTTTTTATTCACTAGATACCTTTGTTAGATACTTAGACCATGTGCAATGCAGGATCTAAAGTGAGTATCTAAACATAAAAAAGTATTAAAACTGTGAGAAAGAGAGAGAAAAAGTTAGATGCAGCTCTTATTCAAGAAATTAAGAGACTATTTCTAACAATACTAATATACTTTAAAAGTGTGTGTCATTATACCATTGGTCCAATTATTTTTATATTTAAAAATTAATGTTATAATTAAATTACAGTAATATAATATATGTAATAGCTTTTTAGAAGAGTTTTTCCCATTGAACATGGTCTTACTCATGGGGATGCTCTTAAAAATAAGAATTTATTTGCATATCACAAGATACCCTTAACGGAAAGACTGATTGAATTTGTTTTTATTATTAGATAAAAAGAACAGCTTTGACCTCAAACCTAAAACAAGATTCAGAACAAGCTAGGAAAAACATTGGATTTGAATTCGCTTTGTTTATAAAAATGAAAAGGTAAAATTTTTTATTCAAATGAATGATATTCTTAGTACAAGAAAACAGCTTTCACCTGAACAAGATTCAGAAAAATCTAAGAACAAACTTTTGGATTTGATTTGGTTTTGTCTATAAAGATGAAAGGTAAATCTTTTATTAAGATGAATTGGTACTCCTAATATATATAAAAAACCAACTTTGAGCTAAATAAGATTCAGAAAAATCTAGGAACAAACATTTGGATTTGAATAAGTGTTGTCTATAAAGATGAAACATAAGCTTTTTATTTAGATGAATGAAGCTCTTGATATACAAAAAAAAAATCTTTGAGCTAAACAAGATTCAGAAAAATCTAGGAACAAAATTTTGGATTTAATTTCACTTTGTTTATGAAGATAAATGGTAAGCTTTCTATTAAAGTGAATGGTATAATTAATATAAAAAGAAAACATATTTGAGCTAAACAAGATTCGGAAAAATCTATGAACAAACATTAGGATTTGATTTTGCTTTGTTTATGATCGATGAAAGGTAAGCTTTCTATTAAGATGAATGGTATAATTAATATATAAAAAAAACATGTTTAAGCTAAACAAGATTTAGAAAAATCTAAAAACAAACATTTAGATTTGATTTCGTTTTGTTTATAAAGATGAAAAGTAGGGATTTTATTCAGATGAATGATATTGTTAAGATGAATGATATTTTTTTATATAAGAGAAACCAGCTTTGAACTTAATCAAGATTCAGAAAAAGCTTGGAGCAAACATTTTGAAACAGTTCTGCTCGGTACTGGTGGCTCTTGTGATACTAGCATCTTCAAGCTTGAACACCCTGATCTTACATTCCTTGTCAGCGAAGTAGATTGCATTTTTTAAACATCCATGGAACTCACCGGCCGAAACCGAGAAACAAATATCGGTAGCCATCACAAAGGCGTCGTCTCCCAATGACTTAACTTCAACCCATTTCCCCATATCCTCATCCATCTTGTAAACCTTGAAACCGATCGTTTTGGGAGATGTTTCGCCTATCTGGTTCCCATCATCGTCGACAGCGCAAACATAAAAAACATTAGGATCCAAGGTATCACCCTCTTTAAGGATACGATCAACAATGTAAAGCTCTCCACCATGTTGCACGAAGCTTAAGTTTCTGCAATCGCTACCAGTGATGCTTTCATCTAATGGTGGTCCGTACTTGAAGATGGAAAGAGAGGAGCTTATCCACCAAACTGACCCATCCGAAGCCAAGGCGTAAGTTAGCCCTCCGTGGATTACAACGTCGGTGAACTCAGCAAGCTGGTCTTTGAGTATGGTCCAGATTCGACCACTCCAAAACCTGATCCTCCCGTCCCAGCCGACTCCCAAAGCATGATCTCCTCCTTGGACGGTGGCAAGAACCACTCTTTTGAATCCGGGATCTGGTTCGTCCATGCGCCTGTCGTGAACCACGTAGGCTTCTTGAATCTCGGAGACATTGAAACGCAAGAGATTGATGCTCTTGCACCTGTGTTTCAAAGGGATGCGCGAGAAATGGTCGAGAAGACGAAATTTCCCCGAGTTGAGATCGGTGTCGGATTTGATCAGCCACCCTTGGTTCGGCGAGGAGGAGGGAGTGACGCGGAAGAAGGCGGCACCTGAGAGGAACGCGTTTCCTTGTTGGGAGGCATTTTCAGTTGGGTCGAGGAGTTTGAGCTCGATGAGAGGTCGGCTCCGGAAAGGATTGTCGAAAGCGGAGGAGCGCCAAGAACGGCAGACGCTACGGAAACTTTTGAGTTCGATGACGGAGAACAAACAGACGGCGATCATTCCGAGGAGTTCCCTCGGTAACTTTGACCAATCAACCATTTTCTCTCTTACGTTTGTACACATAGTGATAGAGTTACGTAACTAAGAAGGTATTGGGATATACGTTGGATGTTTTTCTGTCCAAGAACTAAGAAGGTATTGATATATATTTTTGGATAAGATTTCCTATATTTTTATAGATTAGTTTAGGGGATATCTTAGCTTCTACATATCTTGTAGATTAGTAGACTCTATTCCTACTTTGTAATATGCATTTATAGCATATCTTATCTATGAATGATAACCATTTTTTCTCTTACGTTTTTACACATAGTGATAGAGTTATGTTGGATGTTTTTCTGTCCAAGCACTAAGAATTGATTTATATTTACACGCTCGAACTTGAAATGGGAAAATATATTTGGATTAGATTTTCAATATATCTATAGATTAGTTTAGGGGATATCTTTGTAGATTATATAGTAGACTCTATCTCTACTTTGTAATACGCATTTATAGCATATCTTTTCCATGAATGATAACGATATCTTTCTAGTTTAGTTAAAAATATTCTAAATCTTTCCATGGTGGTTCCTTTCATAATTCGTACAGAGACATGGCTCGTTCATCTGATGATGCAATGGCTAAAACATCCTAATGCTTCAACATGATACCAACAAATTAACATGTTGCATTTTCTTGTTCAATTGTACCAAAGATGAAGAAGATGAATGATTGGTTTTTATTTTATTTTATTAGATGGTTAATATTTTTGATATAAAGAAAGTTGCCTTGACACTAAAACAAGATTCAGTGCAAAAAAAAAAAGGAGCAAACATTGCGAAACACCTCCTCGGGTATCTCGTCGTCATTGTCGTGATGCTCCCATCATCAAGCTTAAACACCTTAGTGGTCTCAGGTTCTGCCTCGTCGGAGAAGTAAATGGCGTTTTTCAAACATCCATAAAACTCATCAGCGAAGACCGAGAAACAAGCATCGCTAGCCATCACAAACGCATGATCTCCCAAGGACATAACTTGTACCCATTTCCCCACTTCTTCATCAACCTTGTAAACCTTAAAACCCACCGTCTTGGGATAGAAGCGAGATATTTCCGGTGTTACCCATCTCTCGTCCCCATCATCGTCGTGTATCATTGTGAAACGATAACGACACCAATTACCACTTTTTCTGATCCAGAGGCTATCATCAACGACACGATCTACAACGTATAACTCTCCACCACACTCCACCAAAACCAAGTCTCTACAAGATTCCTTAGTGGCATATTCATCCAGTGAAGGTCCATACCTAAAGATGCCCAGAGAGGAACTAACCCACCAGACATTCCCATGCGAATCCAAGGTGTACGTTAGCCCTCTCTCTCTCTCAACTATGATGTCACAGAATCGAGCTACTTGCTCTTTCATTTTGGTCCAGACGTCTCCGTTCCAATACCTTATCTTCCCGTCGCATCCTACTCCAAGAAGGCGACCATTTGCCGTAACAACCAACCTTTTGAATCCAAAAAGTTGTTCTTTTTTCTTCTTGCGTTGGATTTGAACAACATAGGCATCTTGAATATCGGAGACATTAAGAAGATCGATGGTTAAGCCAAGATGGCTCATCGGGAGGCGCGAGAGAGGGTTGAGAAGACGGAGTCTCCTGTAACCGAGGAGATCACTATCGCATTTCATCAGCCACCCCCGACTCGTCGCAGAGGAGGAGACGCGGAAGAAGGTGGCGCGTGATAGAAATGCGCTCCGGTCGAGGCCGAAGATTTGCTTTGGTTCATTAGGGCCGACATGGATAGTGATGACGAGGGGGTTGAGGTCGATGAGAGGGCGTCTCGGGAAAGGATTGTCGTCCAGGGAAACGGAGGAGCGCCAAGATGTGCAGATGCTACGGAAATGGAGGAAAATCAACGAGGAGAACAAACGGAGAGCAATCATCAGGAGGACCTCCGCCGGTAACCTTGACCAATACGCCATCTCTCTCTTTGCTAAGGACTCTCTCTCTTTATTTTGCTGCTTTGTTTGTACCTTTTAGGGAAGAAGCAGATATCACTTATGTAGGAGCCGACCAATCAAAATAAATCAGTTGAATATAATAGAGCAATTTCGTATGGTAATATGTTTATTTGGTTTGAATAATGAATAAATTCAATGCAGAGCATTTGGTTTGAATAAAAATTAGTGAAAATTACTTAAATGACATCGTTTTTCTCATTAAACTAATGATGCACTATTTTGAACAAAACATTTTAAAGGAATCGCAATGAATGCTAGCAGAAGGCTTAAAAATTGAATGTATAACAACATTTTTTTTTTCATTAGTTGGGTAACATTAATGTTTGGGAAAATTTTAATAAATTCTTATTAAAACAAGTTTACACGATGCTTAAAAATTTGTTTAGATTGTAAATTAATTTTTTTTATTACGTATCAAATGATAATTCTGTAAAAAAACTTCACTCATTTTTGAATTTTTTAGGTTTTTTTTTCTTAGAATCCTTCTTTAGTTCTAATTTCTAAAAACACTTTGTTTATAGATATATGTCAACCTCTAATTTATTTTAGACTAGTAGTAACATATCATTACAAATTTATTATTTTACGTGAATTTTAATTTGGTAACATTAATGTTTAGATAAATTTAACCAGTTCTTGACTTCTTGTTAAAGCAGCTATCTACAAATTAACGCTTTAATAGATATACTAGAGATGTTTCCGCGCTACGTGCAGATTATTTTTATAAATATTAGATTATTATTTAAATTATTTTTTAACTTTAAATTAATATTTAAATATATTTTTTTGATTTTCAATATTGTTTTGATGTGGTTATATATATAAAAAATTAACGTACTTAAAAATGTATTATAATTTAATTTAAGAATTAACTAACTTGATATATATATAAATAAATTGTTAATTTAAAAATTAATATTTATATATAAACTCATTGTTGTTCACTAAATTTTAATATATTATTTAAATTTTTTTGATTAATTTTGATATATAAACTCATTGTTTCACTAACTTTCAAACTATTATTTAAATTATTTTTGTTTTAACTAAATTTGATATATAATTAAACTCAACAACTATAAATTTTTCTTTATTTAATTTCAAATATTTTTTTTCATTTTAAAAAAAACTTATTAAACATATGACTACAACTGAAGCACCTGGTTATTTCAATTAATTTGGATTTATTTTTATTTCAATTGTATCCGTGTAGTTTTTTTTTTAGCAGTCTTAAATACAAGACAACAATCAATATTCAAAACTTTACAAATCCTTAAAAACTATTGTTCATATAATAAAAGCAACATTTACATATTATAGAAAATCACAATCATATTGATAAACTGCAATTTTGATTTGATCCATAAAGCATATGTAAACTATAAAAGTATAGATGAATAAAACAAATAATAAATATAAAAATACAACTTCATACTAACTCATTCGATTGAACAAAATATGTCGAGTGTCTCAAAACTCAAAATGTATAAAAGGTTTATCTACATTTGTTTGTAATTTTGACTTAGATATTTTTACACTACATATATATTTTGATAAACCTTTATAATTAAATTAACAATATATATCTTATTATTTTTTAAAAAATTTCTTAACGAAAAAAACAAACCATGTTAGTTTTTCTTACATATTGAGTTTGTAAGAAATTCTTCTTTGTTAATGTGGATGGTCAGATATTTTTTATGACAATTTCTCCTACATAAAAATGTATATTGTATTTTTAAATAAGAATGTGTAATATATTAATGGTTAATATAAAATTATGCAAATCTATTTTTTATATGCATGACTATAACGATGATTTATACTGCACTATAATTAATTTAATTTATACTTATAATATTTACATAGTATACAAAATCACAATCATATTGATAAACTATAATTTTTATTTGGTCTTTGAAGCATAGTTAAGTATAGAATTGTAGATAAATAAAGAAAGTAATACATATACAAATAAAACTTCTTACTAACTCATTCTATTGAACAAAGTATGTCTAGTTTCTCAAAACTCAAAAAGTGTAAAAAGCTCATTTGCATTTGCAATTTAACTTAAATATTGTTCTTACACTACATATATATTTTGATAAACTTTTCTAATTAAATTAATAATATATATTATTTTATTTTTAAAAGAGTTTCTTAACCAGAAAAACCATATTAGTTTTTCTTACATGCTGAATTTGTAAGAAAATTTTTTGTTGTTGCTGATGTAGATGGTTAGAGATGTTTTCATGACATTTTATTTTATATAAAAATATATATACTATTTTTAGATATGAAAGTGTAATATATTAATGTTAAATAAAAAATTATGCAAGTCTATTTTTCATATGACCATAACGATGGTTCATATTATATTATAATTAATTTAATATATGCGTAAAAGTATTTAGCCAAAAACAAAAGTAATAGCATGTACATAATCATACGTATTTGGTGCTTTTAATTATTGTGTAGATGAACTCTATACTTCATAATATTATATCTTATCATTTTTTAGTTTAAAAGTGTGATTATTATTAATATAAGTTATGAAATTTTTTTTTGTGTTAAAATCAAGTTATATTTTTTTGTTGTATTAGTACATACAATTTAATCAATATTCAAGTATTACTATTATTATTAATTAAATACTATTTAAATTTAAGCAAGTTATAAATATATTAAACAATTATTTTTATTATAGATCTGCTGATGTGGCAAGTTTAGAAAGCTTCTAAAAAAGCTGAGATGGATGGCTTTAGGAACTCCAAATTCCTCCTTTCATTTAGTATAGATATATATATTTTTTTTATTCTGTTCTGAAAAACATCGATGAAAAAAACAAAAAAATTAAAAACTCTTTCCAGCAATGAATGATAATTCTTTCAAAAGCATCTTGCTCATTTTCCCTCCTTTTTTAGTAAAGATGTGTCTACTATTTTTTTTCTAGGAGTCTCTCTTCCATCAATAAAGAAGAATTTTAATTCTAAGACGTCTATATTTGTAGGTTCGTGTCAAACCCTAATTTACTTCAAACCGATAGTGATACAATTGATATTAGGGAAAACTTTAACCGGTTCTTGTTAGAAGAGCACTATAATTGATGCTTTAATTGATATTTTATTCTGTTAAAAAAAATGAAGAAGATGAATAAAATTGAAAAGATAAGAAGATGTATAATATGGTAACGATGAAGAAAAAGAAGAAAAATATGTGTACAAAGTCGGGGAAAAATAAGAAAAAGAAAACAATAGGATTAAGTAGAAAAAATACTGAATATCACTAAAAAAACAGATATATTGTATCACTTATTTTAAATATTTGTATTAGTTATAATTGATACAAACATGTTTTACATTACTTGTAAAATTGACTCTGAATGTGGTTGTAAAAACTCAAGTTCGATCTACGAACGAACTAGGGTTTGTGGGTTTAAAGAGAAGTCTTTTATTAGAAAAAGCCAGAGCTTGATTGAATACAACGGTATTTAGGTCGTCGGAATAAGAACGCCGACCTAAAACTCTTAAGGAAAGTTAACCAAAAAGCTAGAACAATCTGATTGCTTAGTTTGCTCTAGGTCTTGATTAATGATTTTTTGGATCCATTGAGAAGTCGAGGACTTCCTATATTTATACCCGATCAGGTCGGTCTTCATCCTATTCGGAATAGGAAACTCTTGTCGGCAAGGAGTTTCCTTTTTCGCCGGGTCGTCTGATAAATGGAAGCTTTCCTTTTATGTTGCCGACCTGGGATTTGTTTGATGGAGCTGACTTATAATTCATATCGGGCTTGTTAGAGACGTACGAATCTCATCTCTAACAGTAAGTCCCCCCCCCCCCCCCCCATCCCCAGTTCGACAAGTGAGGATGCATATGTCGAATTTAGAGAAAATGTTGCTCGATGTGAATTCTAGTCGGCTGCAAAAGAAGTTAGAATATAATGAAATGTTGGCCAAAAATGGACTTCTGATGCGGCACCCGGTGAGTGAGGGCGGCAGAATTGATTGTTTTTAGGGCGCGAACGCCTTCCTCGTGCGCGCACCATGGATGTAGGAGATAGGCCTAGGCGCTAGCGGCATAGAGAGCCTAGGGTTGAAACGTGTCGATAGCCGGGGAAACTAGCAGGGGAGACAGATGAAGAGGTACACGATAATTATATAAAGTAGTAGTTGAGAAATGTAAAACAGTCGCGGGCGAGGCTTCATGATGAACTCTTCGATAACAGCGTCGCAGGGCCTCCTTATATAAAAATAAGCAGGGACATCGACTTCTTATTTCTCACAAGTAATGCATCTCTAAGCGAAAACTACGGTCAAAATCAGGTTTGCTATTCTCTCTCTTATATGTGTCTGTCATCTTATTTTAGTCATAGACGAATTTTCTTTTCTATCAGAGCGCGTCTTGCGGCAGCGTTTTCGTTGGCAGAGTCGGCCGTCTTTGATTTCACCGAATTTAAGTGGTAAAACCGTCAACAATATCCAGATATGAGCAAGTGTGTAGAGAAGATCTGCGAGAGCGCGACCAGTAATTCGAGGGAGAATGAGTATCGCATAAGGAGAAAAAGCTGATGAGATCCGGCGTATTCTTTGAGATGAATTGTCTCAAGATGGAGAGAAGACGATTCAGGTCGCAAGCAACATAATCGACAAGGAAAGGCGGATTGGTCGTTGAGAAGAACGAGGATTCAGATCGGATAAGGGTCTGTATGAGGCAGAGTGGAGTTATCCGCGCATTAGATCGGGCTTTCAGGAAAACGAGTCAGGGAGGATGAACAAAGAGGCAGCAGACCACGAGCGCTTTTCACGCGATACATGGTCGGGGGCTATTTCAGGGAGCCGGAGAGGCGTCGACTAGGGAGCCATTCTTGATGTTCGTAACTAAAAGGAAGAGGAAGACGTTACGAGTGGAATCAAACGAGATGGATATCTCGGATGAAGCTGAACAACTTAATATTTTTTG